AATGTTTTCCATAGTCTTGTTCCGTTCGAAGCCCATCTCCACCAACTGATTCAGGTTCGCCGCTTCCTCCGCTGTCAGCTCAATCCGCTGCGAGCCCGGAGGAGGTGCTCCCGCCAACCCCCCCATGCCTCCTAATCCCGGCGCCGCTCCACTCGCCAGAGCCTCAATCAGCTGCCCGCTGAACTGCTGCACCTGTTCGGGAGGCAATCCCACCAACGCAGCCAACAGTTGGTTCCGCTGCTGCTCCGGCATGGCCTGCAGGATCTGAGCGAGCTGTTGTGGGGAGGGCCCGTTCTGCCCCTCCGCCCCCCCCGCTCCTTCCATGCCGCCCAAGCCCCCGAGAGCGGCAAACGGATTCCCCTGCTGCGATGGTTGTTGCTGTTGTTGCAACTGCTGAGCTCCTGAGGCAGTATCGCCTTCAATCGGCTCGTTCATCATGGCCACAAATTCATCCTGCTGGGCCAAGATGACTTGCAGGAGCTGTGGGCTCTGCTGCCCGATGAACCCTAGGACCTGATCGATCGCGCCAGGATTCGATTGGACCAAGCGGCGGAGCTGATCGAATTGTGGGAGGGCGCGGAAGGCCTCGAGAGACGTGATCGAGTTGGAGGCCGCGCTTGTCGCTGAGGGGGTGGCGGCCGGGGTAGGAGGCTGGATAGGAGCTCCGCTCTCCAACAGGGCATACGCCGCGTCGGGACTGCCCCCCGTTGCTTCCAAAGCCGCGCGAACGTTTGCCTCGGCGAAGCCCATGGACACTAACCCTTCCACTTGAGCCGCATCGGCTGGAGAAGGAGCGGGCGGGGTAGCTGCCGTGCCGGTGGTTGTTGTCTCCGGAGTTGTTCCTACAGAAGGAGTAGCCGGCGCGGTCGTAGCTGCTGGAGCTGGAGCAGCAACAGGCGTTGTTTTAGGCTACATGTATTTTGAGTAAGATTGCTTTTAGTATATCTGATGATGGCCCGTAATTAGCAGAACGGCTCCGACATTCCAGCTTTCTGCTCCTCTTCTTATCCTTCACGTACCTTTGGGGCCGCTGAAACCATGCAGACGTAAAAATCAGTTTCTGTAACACCAGTCGATTCAATTGTGTCGTCATCCTTCAACACTTTACCCTTGTGAATCATTTTTTGACGGGCAGGATCCGCTCCGTTCTGCTCTGCTTGCAACTTAGTTTTGAGTTCACCTATCTTCATGGCCGGCTCCACCTCCACAACCATTTTCTTCCCCCCCACGTCTTTAACAGTCAGTTTCATCACCCTTTGCAGTGCAACTGGTGCGCAAGCGTCTATTTGTAGGGAGAGAGTGTGTCAACGGGCATGCTCTTGCGACCTAGGTGGAAGGAAGCCCGCGAAGTCAAGAGGCTTCTTGGGCGAGCGAGGGCGAGACCGTTCCGATCCGCTCATCCCGTGCTGGCTCATGCTCGTGCTTTTTTCTTTGAAATCTCACCGTCTTCCGCCTGTGGAACCCACCCCTCATAAATTCCTTTCAAAGTGCTTCTTTTATGTGCATTGTCACATGTCGCCCGTATGTTTCTTTCGTGCCGACCCCTTCTTTGCCTCATACTTTAGTCTCGGAACCGCAGTCTGAGGGCGGCTCCACCTCGATCATCTCGCATTTAATTTGTCTATCTGTCCTCTCTTTTATTCGCACCCTCAATAAAGCACCCAGGTGGCGTATGCTCTGATCGAGTGTCGAAATTGGGATAGGCATGAAAAGTTTGGGACGTTAGATCTGCGTGGCTCCTATACTCGTTGTGCCACCTACATGACATGTTCCTAGGCCCTTTGCGTGCGTCCAAGCATATGAAAACTCAACCAATATGAAAAAATCTGAGTAATAAAAATATCTTTCAAATTTGCTATGTTGCAGAGAAGACTGCATATGGAAAACGAGATCTCGCCCATGCCTTCATGAACCCCACTCAAAGCGACTCACAAGCCCCACGTACCTCCAAAGGCACCGTATCAGGAATATAATTGTGGGGTAAAAATGCCGGCACCGGCATTCCTATGTCCAGCAACAGGGCCGTCCGGAGGAGCTGAAAAATTATAAAGGGAAAGGGAGAAGTAGAGGTTGGCATGCGAAACATCATTAAAATCACAAGCATGCGTACACCCGTGTAAAGCAATGCGGCCAGTCCCTTGTCTTGTGCGGGTTTGTCACGCACGGTTTCCCCTCGAGCATCCCCCCCTCAAACCCTCCCACATCCGAGCGAGCCCCTCCCACTGTACTTACCTTGACCACCCGGGCCTGCTTCTCAGCACCCTCCTCCACGCCCTCCAGCTTCTTCACTTTGTTTCTTTTCTTGCCCAGCAGCCGCTTCTGCTTCCGCGCGGCAATCACCTTGGCCTTGTCGATGGAGGGGTCGAGGGTCACAGAGAAGCGCCCTGAGTTGGGGAACACGTCCTTCACGTACACGCTCACGTGGATGCCTCGCCGGATTACGTTCGGGTCAGTCTCCAGTGGCAAGGGCTGGTTATGCGAGTCCCGCAGGAGCTTGATCCCTTCCGGGACGTCGTGCGGGTGGAGCATGGCGTTGCAGCGGACCAACTGAGGGGAGGGGGACGGCACCGTGGGGCATCAAGGGCACATATAGGCAAGCCAGGGAGAAAACCACTCTAGGTTGCTTAAACAAACAATCAGCTACCAAACGAATGAGCGACATACAAAGTTGCTCGCACGTGATATCGTTCAATCTCTCAGCCGAAATGAGAGAGGGTCTTTGACGAGTCTCCTATCTCACCTTCCCTCCTGGCCCCTCACGGACGACCTTAACGTCCAAAAATGCAGCAAACTCTGTTACACCTACAACTCCCCCGTGAAGACGCATTCCTGGGCGCAATGCCTGAAGCAGAGTGACGTTTTGACTCTGCTTGCTCCTGCCAAGGGAAGAGTAGGAAAAAAGGTAGAGCCAAAGAGTCATGGTGAGTCATGGTGCCCTGTCGCAAATCAAAATCTTCGAGTCCATTGAGAAAGCATCTCTTGGCAATGTGTGAAATATGCTTCTTATACGGCCCCTGGGACAAAATTCGAGACAGCCTCCCCTATCACCTTGATCCTTCAGAGTCCGCTTTGGCCTTGTCCGTCACCACTGCTGCACGGATAGGTGACTCGTTTGTGCTGGAAGCTATTCCATCGCCTTGTTGATCATTAGCGTACGGCATCAAAACTGCCCGAGAACGTCCGTTCGGGTGTCGGGCCATGCAAGCTCCACTGGTGGCAGTGGCAGCAGGATACGGCGACTTGAAGAAAAACGAGGAGGCAGAGGCCAGAAGGAGCATAAGGACAGACCCAATCATGGTGCTTGGCAGGAAACATGGTCTTCCATGCGGCATCTTGTCTGTATACATATGTGGCCATGTATTTTGACGTGTAAGTGGACGTACAAGGCAGGGTGTGTGAAATGGAAGAGCGGGAGCGAGGCTTCGCCCTTTTCCCCCTCGGAAGGCCCTTGACGCGGCCCACGGCCCTCACTCGCAGTCCCTCTGTCCATTTCACCGCGTCTTTTCATGGCGAGGGGCACGACATCACTAACTTTTATACGTTAAATATTAAGGCTTGGTCTTTAATGGCATTTAAAAGCGCATTTAATGCACATTTTATTTAAAAAATTACAGTTTGCACTACTGAACCTCCCCCTTTTCACAACAAAAAACAGTTATGGAGAATTTTTTTCCTTCTCGTCCACGCTACAATGGCGTGCGGGTGTGCGCTTGCCTGTGCCTGGTCATTCTTGATACCTTTGGAAGGCCTTTTCTGAACCTAACACCTAAAGTCACAGCGGTTTCATGTCCGCCGCTTGGTCCGCTTCTAAATCAAGAAGTGATAGTGCAGGTGTCCCTCCTTGTCAATCCTTCCCCCTCTCAGCCAACAGCAGTTGATCTTCGCTTCAGCTGCGCATCTAAAACCGTAACTTTAGCCCTGAATACAACATATGTAATCCCTCCCTGGTCGTATCCATCGGCTGGTAGTAGTGATTTATCTATATCACAGTCAAATACACAAATAGCTTGGATTTTTGATGTGAACCGCCACCAACTTTACCATCTCCAGCCATGTGAATTGAGTGCTTATTTTCATTTCCCCCCTCACCAGCAAGTTGGCTCTCGAACTATTGTTCCTTCAGGTAAGAAAAGAAAGTACAATCACGACGGGAATTGTACTCTGCAAGCGCTTTTCTCTTCTTAAGGGATCAACATCGCTGCCTCCATTCCCATAAAACATTTCATGCATTATTTATTTATTCTCTCAATCCTATTCTTACCTCAATCAAGGCTTCGTTTATCAAGTTCCTGTGGTACTCGAAATCCAGCTGGTCGCCGGGAACACCTCTACCTGGGATTATTCTGATGCTTCTGGGGAATCACCGGATATATACCCAGCTGTTTGGCAGCTGATTGTACGCAACATGAGCGAGTATGCAATGTTTTCCATAGTCTTTCTCTTAGTCGCCTGTCTTGGTGGGTTGTCGTTCTTTATCTGCGGAGGACTATTCATGATGGCAAGACAAGTTCGTAAAAAAAACACGTTTGCATATGACGCTAGAAATGGACTGAAAGGGCAAAAAGACAAGCAAATGTCTACTCCAATGTTTTCTAAATGTGAAGTTATTTCCAACCCGATCCAAGACCCCAAAAAAACGCAAGCTAATGGACGCAGCAGCAACCACAGTCCTCTCCGCTCTGAAGTCGACCGTTCTAGCGCTGTCCCTGAAGTAGGCGGGAGGAGAGCGATAAAGCACGCTTCACAAGTATCATTCTCTAATCGCTGGCAAGGAATCCTCCATGACGTGGCCGCGCGGGCCACCCCGCTGCGCGACCAAGAGCTAGACGTCATGGCAAGCAAAGCTCTTAGAGATAATGCTAGCATCCTCGGCTTAAGAGCGCGAAAGATGCAAGTTGAAATACCTATACCTGGAGATGTGATAAGCTTTATCTTGCGTAATGACAAAAGTGTGCGAGGTATTGTGCTGTCCGCAAAAAGCTGAAAAATCTGTAGTGAAGGGAGGTCGGTGCTAGAAAATCCATGTCAGAAAATCCGTGTAAGGAGGCGAAAGGGGCAATTACACACTTCATACTACGACTGCAGATATAAATGTCCTTGAATTTATCGTCACATAAAGATAAACAGAACGCGTAAAGGCTGCATTTACTGCAAATAGGGCACAGCAGTGAAGCTGTGAAGGCAACCCTAGCAGTATAAAATTTCAAACTGACGGTTTGAGTCAGCCGTTAAGTTTCCAGACAAGGTTCCTTGTCAGCCCTCATACAATCGTGCACGACAAATTGCCAGTTTAAATTGAGATACATAATTACGTGATCAATGCGGTGAGATGACTTAATTGGAGGATCTGAGGTGCTAGCGTACTGCCATCTTTTTTTTAACCCGGTCCGTGGGACAGCTTCCTCCACGACTAAACGCCTGACCTGTGTCGTTTCTCTCCAAGCTCTCTCTCCCGTGTGTCCACCGGAACGAATGTAGCTTCGGGCTCCACAGAGTATTATCTGAGTGTCTCTTTCTTATGGTGCGCTGTATACTTTTTAAATTACTGTGCAATGAATCTTGTGAGGGTCACAGCAAGCTATGGTGCGCCCGATAAGTATATTATCTGGAGATGTGCTACTGGTCCTACCGCCGATCCACAAGCCACGGACTCGAGTCTTGAGGTTCTCAAATGGTAGATGTATTGTACAAGCATAAATTATCATTTTAATTCTTCCATCATCACATTAAATGCAAGCACAGGAAGAAAACGAAAATCAGGGAGCGTATACTGTCTGATAAAGGGTTCACTACTTGGAAGCAGAAGACATGGCCCGTCTCTGTAGCACGTCTGTTTCCGCAGTTCTACTGCTGCTGGTTTCCAATTCCGGATGGACAGCAGGGAAAACTGAGCTTAGACAGACTTTCAGCGGACTGGCGCAGGCCGCGGAATCCAACCCGGGAAACCAATTCGGGGGAGCCTTTCTGAATGGCGCCAGCGCCATTGCCAAAGGTCTTGCGGGGAATGCTGCAACAGACAACATCCCTTCCAGCACTTCTGCGGGTGCCACTGATATTATCAAAGATGACTTGGGGCCGGACGTACTTCCCACTCCACCCGAAAACAACAACGTGGCTAACAAGGCCTCTCTGGGCGGTCTTGTAGGAGGCCCGGGCACTTCCCTCGGGGACGGTCTCAGCTGGAACTTCGGGTCGAAGGGTATGATCCAAATGCTAACGGGCTTTTTCATGACCTTCATGTCCGGTTCTGCTAACCCCAACAGCGCCTTGAACGTGTATGGCAGCGCCCTTATGAGCCAGGACCCGGTGGAGATCTCTGCTGCTTTTGGAAAGCTTCTGACGTCGTTGGATATGTCTTGTGCCTTCCAGATGACAAGCGGTGGCGATGGCGTGGATATGAAGTTCCGTGACGGGAAGGAGGCTTTGCACATCCAGTTTGTACCCACCACCAAAGCGACTGTCTTCAATTTCAAGGGCGAGTTCCCGAAATCTCGCGCCTTTTCTTACGCAACTTACGCTGTGGCAAACCAGCAGGTGTCTTTTGTGGACATGATCTCCGACGTTGACATGGTCGCCTCCACCGGCTCGAATCCTTTCACTGCGGGCCCCGGCAATACAGGTGCCTCGGGCTCCTACGACTTGTACGTGACTCCCGATGGCAAGCAGGGCTTTCCTAACGAGATCAAGACCTTCGCCGACGGCGATGTCACTAACGAGCTTTCCGGCATCATCATCGTCTACCGCGTCATCATGGCGGACGGAATCAAGTCAGATGGATGGGGCGGCGTTCCTCCCCCCGCCCTCCGCGTTAAAGCCTTCAGTGTGCTGGCCACAGGGTTGTGGTTCAATCTGGCCCCCTGCAACCCCAAGAACGATATCACAATCGAAAATTTCATTGAGAACAGATTGGCCTTGAAGGAAGGCATGTCGGACGTCAAGGTCGAGTGTGACGTCTTCAACATGGACAACAATTTTGTCTACTACGACGACGCCCAGTACTTTAAGACCCCCGACGAGAACCACATTATCTCCTGCGGCAACCGCGCTCTCCTACCCCCCGGGGCCGACATGATCACCATCATCTCTGGAACCCTCCCCCCCGCTTCAGACTCCCGTTACGCCTCCATCAGCTTGGTCAACCTGTACCCTCCAGGGAGGAACGTCTACTCCGTCTCGGACCAATCTTTGCGAAATTTTTACTGGGACCAGGGCAAGTCGGCCGTGAACTACACCATCATCATGGCCAAGAACAAGCTTGCTCTCAACAAGTGCGGCCTCAGCAAATTGCCCGCCAACTGGTATCAGGTGTATTGGGCCGGCTTTGCGGATGCCCTCGAGGGTTCGTACCCGGGCATTGTCTACCGCGAGATGATGACGGACGGCTACGAGCAGTCCTTGGAACAGGTTCGGTATGCCTGTGAGGCAGAGAAGGACTGCTCCAACCCCAAATTCTTCGAGCAGCAGATGGGCGATTACTACCCTCGCATTTCCTACCTGTCCTGCAGCAGCTCAGGCCTGGCCCCGGCACCCATCAAGAACGAGAACTTGACGTTCCCCGAGCCGCGACTGCCCCGACCGGCCTTTCAAGGCTTATGGACGAGTTTGGCGGGCAATGACTTGTTGGGGGTGGAGTCGATTCCCCAGGCCTCGGTCACGATGGCGGCGCTCCAGGGCTCGGACGTCTACGTGAACGGGAAGCTCGCGGGGAGGGCCACGGACAACGTGAAGGTGGTGAGCAAGCAGACGGCCTCCTTCGGCTGGTCCCCGATCCAGTCCGTGTACTACGACCCCGAGAACCCCGTAACGGCCAACCCGGTGATCAGGGAGTACATGGACGCGGACGGGAACCCCGTCCAGCTCGAGCTGGTCCCCACCCCCGCCAAGTTCTTGCCGGACGAGGTGCTCTTCGCCGTGAAGGTGCCCATCACGGGGGGGCTCAAGGCCTTCTTCGCCACCCACGACGTGTGCGGGACCAGCAGGTCGAGTGCGGCGGGGTGGAAGTGCATCGCTACCACATTCCCGGACGCGAACTGGACCTTGCCGTCCTTCGACGACTCCAAGTGGCTTCCGGCCAAGGCGCTGAAGAAGGGGGAGGCCTGCTCGGGCATGCCCACGGATTGCACTGCTCTTCCCCCCGACGCGCAGGGGATATGGGCCGACACCTGCACAGGAAGTGGGGGACCCAACCAGGGCAACGTCTACTGTCGCTTGCGGGTGCCGCAGACCTGCGACTTGACAGCGAGGGCGGGTTCCGACGACAGGGTCAAAACCTGGTGCCCCGACCTGGCCAATGCGGTGGCGACGGCGCGCTTCGCCTCCCCGACCCTGCATTGGCTTTACGCGAACGGGCTGGAGGTCGGGGGCGACCAGACGATGGTGATCCCGGCGGGCACCACGAGCTTTGCCTTGGACCCCGCCGCGCCCACCGTGGTCCTGGCTTTTAAGGCTGTGGATGACACGCGCAAGGTGGTGAAGAGCTTCATCAAGGGCCAGTTCAATCTGTGCGGGTTCGAGCACGTGACGGACGCGTCGTGGAGGTGTGCACCCTCGGAGCCCTTCACGGACGACTGGCTGCAGCCTGGCTTCGACGACTCGGAGTGGGACCCTGTCCGCGTCGTCGACGGCTTCCCTTGGCAGCCCAACCCCTCGGCGGGCATGAGCCCCGAGTCCTCCTGGGTCTGGGCTCAGAGCGGGATCCAGACCTTCTGCCGGCTGGAGGTCCCGAACCCCGTGTACGGGGCCAAGCAGTTCTTTGAGATTGCATAGATGAAGGACTGGGACCGAGTGCGGTCAAGACGGAGACGGAGGGAGGAAGTATCCCCGGAAGCGTGAGATGCGATCGGTGCATGACTGCGGGCAGAGAGCGGTGAGGACTGGCAGTACTCTTGGGTACGAGAGGAGAGAAAGGTGCAAGTCCGTCACAAGCATGTCGGGAGCTGCAGCCCATCGAGGGAGGATAGGGTGGAACGTAAAGGAAAACTCATGAGGGTGTGCATGGATGCGAAGTGCTGGCTATCTACGTATGCTTTCATCCTACGCCAAAAAGCACTGAAGAATCTAAAAGGAAGAGAAATTTGTGGCTTTTTTTCTTTCCTGGTTCTTTTTTTCGGTTCAAGTTCTGCTGTAGGCTATGCATTTACATCTCTTCTTAGAGGTGTTTCCCCGACGTTATGTGATCAGGATGTGTGGGGAGCGGCAAGGCTTACTTGAGGGGGGGGTTCCGATTTCAAGGATGCTGCGAAGCATGGCGATAGATTCCCGTCTCATTCACTAGTTTTTCAATTTTTCAACAACTGTCTTATACGCTTTGCTGTTTTCAAGGAGCCAAAAGACTGCTGTATAATACTGCCCAAGTGATTCTATCATGTGCACGCTACCTAGTGGATAGCTCGGACCAGTCTGAAATAATGTAAGATGGGAAGCTTCCCTCGGCACAACCGCTCCTTCCTCCCTCCATAAATCTTGGTTTGATACCAAGAGCCGTCGCAACGGTTGTGAGATGAGAGAACTGAGTCTCCATGGCTCCTGTCCCGAATATTCCACTTCCTCCGTCATCGCCTTGCTCCTTGGCTCGCTTTTGCTCGGACAGCTCAGAGCTCCTTTCTGGGATTGCACTGGCGGTTTTAGACGTATCTAGCAGAGCTGCAAGTGCAGCCAAAGATTCTTTCAGCTGCAGCACGTCATTTTGAAGGGGCGTAAGCGTGACAGCCGTCTGTTGCTGATGTCGACTGAGGGCATCCTCTAAAGTGTCAGTCAATTCCTCCATGGCAACCTGATTTGCCAGAATTTTCGTTTCCAGGCACTGCACTTTCTCATAAAGCCTTTTCAAAAACTTTCTATCTTCAGAATCGTCCACGAGTGCCATTTTTCCTGCTATTACTCTGCTCAGGTCCTCTCGTTCCGAGCTGTCGGGCACTAGCTTTTGCCGTCTTGGGGACCACGGAGCCATTTTCCGCCACCTAATCAGATTCCGAAAGTAGCCAGCCCCGAGGAATCTGAAGGCCGTAAGTAATACTATCGTGCCAGCAGCCGTGCATAGAAGGTGCTGTGACGTTGCGGTCATCTGTGAAGAAACTTGCGGGGGCTGGAGGGTCCACGACTTGAAGTGGCGTCACTCTCACTTGTACGGTCAGGCGGGCAGGAATATGAATTTCGAGGGGAAAGCATAGGAGTCGTTAGCTCATAAACTCGGGCATCTTTCGTTCTGTAGTGTAGCACATTTTGAAAAAAGCGCTCCAGTTTCCACATCGAGCAGCGGGCGGATAATTTTTGAGTAATAGCAAACTGGAAAAACGCGGTCCTTGCCTCCCTTCTCCCACAGAGACCTGCAAGTTGTCGCTGCAATCGCCCATCTCTTAGCGCCACCAGCTCGATTGACTGCTGAAGGCACTTATATAAGCATGACAGGAGCTACAAGCCAAGAATGTGAACGTGAAGATAGGCGGTCTCGGCTACGTCCTCGGCCTCGATCCACGGCAGCTTGTCCGACAGGCTCTTCTTCGTCGAAGAGTGATTTTCCTGTCGACTCTCCAGGACATCCATCTTCAAACGACGCGCAAGACATCGTGGACAACTACCGGTGTGTGTGTCAGCAACTAAGAGCTTTTCGAGGGCGGGTATTGAATCATGAGGAAAAGGCCATGGTGGAGGAGATAGGAGCGGAGGCTCGGGCCACGGCCCTGGGGAACCGTGCGATCGAACGCCATCAACATGACGAGCAAGAAGACACGATGCGATCGCGCTTAAGAGCCAAAGATGGAGACATACGAGAGAGGGCGCAATTCTCCCCGTGTAAAGAACAAGACGACGTGATGGATCGATTTTTGCGTCGGCAGGAAGAAGAACATCAATACGAAAAGGCACGATTGGAGACGTACTGTGGCAAACTCCAACGCCAGGCGCGTCAAGCCCTTCAGGCAGCAAAAAGTGCACAGGTAAATATTATGTGCTAAGGCATGCATTCATAGTATTTTGCCAGACAGTAGCTCATTACATCCAACTCCTTCCTCTCTTCCGCACCTTAGCGCCAAGCCCTGATTGCCGAGACAGACCTGGAGCACGAATGCAACAGCTCGCGCCAAGAAAATTTTCGGTTGCAACAACAGATCGAGGAACTGGCTCGAGGTTTGCAAGCTCAACGACGTGTAACGGCAGAACGTGACGCGGAAATTATCTCACTGCGAGAGCGTCTTTCAATGGCCCAAGCTCGGGAAGAAGCGCTGGCTCAACAAGCGACTCGCAGCACGGCTTTGAAGGAGGAGGTTGAATCTTTGCGAAAATGCCTGGAGCAGGCGAATGGAATGGTGCTATTTAAAAAAAGCGGGGTGTCAGAGGAGGCAGAGCGGGCGAAAGTTGAAGCCAGGAGGCGACATTTGAGAGAGCAAAGGCGGCTGATAGAAAAGGACTTATTGCTGGAAATCGAAACGTTAGAAACTCTCTCTGTAATGACATCAAAGCTCTCAGATTTTGAGATCTCGGAAAAGTAACGAAGAACTCAGTTGAACTGCTACATCGCCTATTCAGCATGCGTGTTTCGTGTTCATTTTCAAGCGCCTTCGTAACCTGAAAGCAGAGATTGCCGTCAGATGTTTGTTCAGACCTAAGTCAGCTTTCTTACCAGAAGTACAGAGTCTGGCAGCCCAGCGAAACCCCTAGGGTGTCGCAATTTGCAAAGAGCGATGAATTAAATGCGTCCATTTCGATGTCGGAATTTCACAAGGGGTCACGTTTTACTGTTCAAAAATTACTGTAACTGTTAATAGAATACCGTCTACAGTTTCGAAACAAGAAAACTCTTTCCAAGCCTACCTAACTGCTGGCTTGTTCCATGCATGGCAGTGCTTTTGCGATTGTGGCCTGTGCCCTGACTAATCTAATCCACCTGAACTCTGACCTGTTCCCCACCCATCAACCCCCTTCAAACATGTTCCTGCTTCACATATCTTTCAATGCCAACGGGCTCGACTTCCGATGCCTAAAAAGGTCCTGCCTCCAAATCGACCAACGTCTTAAAAGCGTCGACACGGAATTGCTTCTCCCGCTGAGCGCCTTTCCGCCAGGTACCTTTCACATTGCTAGATATCCCGTCCAATATCAGCGCTTCTGATGCATTTATCACACGCATGATCAATGCGTGTACCATCTCGCGACATGGGACAATAGGCACTGTTATGTTTACTTGAGCTCCGGGCGCAAACGTCGTCGCTCCCGTAACCCATTCCTCTGAATCACCTAACCCTGTTCTGACCGAAATACCTAGGGAGAAATTTGCCTTACGTTGGCTGTTGTTTACTTGCAGGCTCAGCGGCATGGCGCAGCCAGCGACCTTGATGCTGCTGTCCCCCATGTCCTGTACCACCTCTCCGAATCTTCGGTAACTACTCATGTCTCCTCGTCGAAGCATTGCAGAAACATTATATCTTTGACCTGTGTCATCGTATATTGAAAATTCATTCATTTTGAGCTACTTGGCCTCAGCAGATTTGCCCAGCTTCTGACCAAAAGGAGCAATCCACGATGAACACTACGACCAGGAAGGGCGAAAAATACGGAATTAAACCATAACCAAACCATAAGCACATTGTTTGGGCTGTGTACATTGGGCCTACCTGCGACATATTGAAAGTTCTTGAGAAGAAACAGTGCTAGGAAAGTCAATGATACAGTCGTCATGATGACTTTCGGAAATTTCGATGTGGGTGAAGCCAGCTCCGAGCAGTATTTGCACGACAAACCCGCCAGTGCTTGGGATAAGGCCACAACGACCTTTCCCAGACCTTCCTGTGGATGAAAGACGAATAAAATAGAAGCGCTCGCGGTGCATGGCTCGTGAGGGACTGATCGAGATGCTAAGCTGGGTGCGCGTACGCAGCCTGAAGCGCGACGTTCCCGTGACACCGAGTGGGCCCGATATGAGATGACGAAACGAAATCCCCAAAATGAATACCACTCTCGAGGTTTTCGAACGCGAAAGACCTCACGTGAAACGCCGGTCTGTTTTTCTTTATATCCTTTCCTGGCAAGCACATTGTTTTTTGAGAAGAAGACGGGTCGCAACGTATTGCGATTCCTCCCTTTCTCACTGTCACCGTCGTCCAAAGCCTTCTCCTCCTTGAATACACGAAGCCTGTCGCTACATCAATCTTCTGCCTATCCCAATCTAATTGCGAAGCAGCCCCTCGATCGCCGCACATGCCATCGGCGCCAAAGTTTGAGACTGCGACTTCACTGCCAGCTTGGCACTTGCCACCCCGGCTTGCAGCGTTATTTCCACCAAGAAGTGCACCGGCGGCGTCGTCACTGTTACAGCCGAAAAGTATAAGCTCTCTTGGGTTGTCCCTGGCACAGGGCGACGGGCTACAAAGGCTACGTGGCGAGAGCCAAGCTTAGAAACAACTGCGTCGGGCGAGCTGAAGGCAGGGGGAAGGCTCCCTGCCAATGTTGTCACCTCATTCGCGTCGTCTATGGCTTTCCAAGCTGGAATGAAGCCTGCCCGATCCGTCTGTCCGGACGCCGCAAAGAGCACACTCAGGTCGTAAGGGATAGCAAAGTAGAAGACGTGGCCCGAGGCCATGTTTTTAACGGCCGTCTGCAGTTGCAGCGACGGTGGAGCTCCTGAAGCCACCATGGATGGCGCAAAGGTGAGGGGTAGAACGTAATTCGTCGCGCCACCTTGGGGAACAGGGGCTGGGAAGGCAATCTGAGGGGAGACAGGCGTGATCCCGAAGGTGTTGACGTTGAACTTGATCGCCAGCACCTGAAGGGGGGTGGGTCCTGTGTTTTGGAAGGTCATGTCGCAAAAAATGCCCCCGCCCTCCTGCCGCAAGGCCGCTCGGATGCCGATACCCCCGCCTTGCTCCGGTGTACACACGAGGGGCCTGTCCACTTGCGTGTTGGCCTGGCTGCTCCCGGCTGTTCCGCCGCCGTTGCTGTCCCCCCCGCCTAAGAAGTCATCGAGGCCTCCGTCTTTCCCTCCCGTCGTCGCAGGAGGCGCCTCGTCAACCCCCCCGAGGTCCAGCAAGTCCACCTCCCCTCCCGGGCCTCCCCCGTTCCCGCTCCCAGCCGCCTGCTTGGAAGGGCCCTTGGCCGCGCCGATGGCACCGATCTCCCCCTCCAGGTACTCCAAGTCGTCGTCGTATTCCTCCCCCACCCCCCCGCTCACGTGTCCCACCGGCACCGCCATTCGAACCACGAAGGCTTCGGGCGGCTTGTGGTAGATGGAGGACAAGGTAGCCAGCTGATGAATGAGTTGGTCCAGCAGCGCCGGTTCGAGGGCGAAGGTGTCGTCCGCGATGGTCGGCTTCTCCCCCAGCACCACCGCACGCGCCACCTGGGGGCTGTGGGAAAGCAGGCGCCAGTAGATGAACCCCCGATCCCGCAAGTCTGGATTGTCGGTGCCCTCCGTGGCCATGTTCAGGACCCGCTGGACCAGCGCCTGTGTCTCCGCGGGCTGCTTCAAAAAGATCTTCACGGTGGCCGTAAGAAGCTGCAGCTGCACCTGCGGCGTCTCCTCCAGGAACGAGTCGAGAAAGAAGGAATCCAAAAGCTCGTCCGCGTTCTCAATCCGGTCCGCGTACTCGCCAATGATCCAGATCATGCTCGCCTTGGCCTCCGGCTCGTCCAGCGTCTCCAAATTCTCGCACAGGGCCGCGATCACCTGCTCGTACCGGTTCGGGTACCGGCGGAAGATGTCCTTGATGACGATGATCGCCTCCTGCACCACATAGTTCACTTTCGTCTGGATCAGCTCCAGCAGCACGTTGATGCACCTCTCGGCCGCCCGTTCCAGCTTGATCGCGGTGCGTCCGATGGCCCGGACCGCGCGACGGACAAAGTCCACGTCCACCTCCTGCGCGTACTCCTTCAGCTCCAAGAGCACTTGCTCCGCGTTGCGGTCCGAGGCCAGGCGGATGATGATTTCGAGCTTCTCCATTTTCACGTAGATGGGGTCGTTGTACTTGCAGAAGAAGACCTGTAATGGGGCGAAACGGGGCACGAGACTGAGCACTGGTCGGCGTCCCCTTCCCCTCACGCACTTTGCTACATCGACACCACGTCCCCTGGCACCATGCTCGCCCCCCATTTCTGCCCCTCACCTTGATCTCGTGCTCTAAGATCGCCGACCGCTTCTGCACGATTAGGTTGATGTTCCTCAGCGCTACGTACTGGATCTCCGGCTCCGAGTTCAAGAGCGTTACCAGGGGAGGCGCGAGTTTGCGGGTGAGCGTGCGGACCACGTCGGGATTGCAGAGCTCCATGTACCCGAGCACGACTTTGACGGCACTCATGACCACGGCCGAGTTCGCGTGCTGGAGCCGGGGGGTGACCCGCTCAACGATCCCCTCAGACTCCACCTCGTCCGCGGGCTGGTACCGGGAGAGGGCGTCAAGAATGTAGACCTGGCCCCACTCCGTGCACTCATTCAGCGCCGCCAGGAGCTTCTGCAGGACGGAGCCCGTGATCAAGGTCACGTCTTGCCCGGACGTCTCCTGGATCTCGGAGAGCGCGGCCACGGCGTTCGCCACGACCGTGGGGTTGGAGTCGCAAATCAGGTCCCTGAGCACGTCTAAAAACCCTCGATCCTCCACCATGTCGGGGCTGATATCGTAGAGCTTGGCCACGCACACGGCCGCCGTCTTCCGCACATAGGGGTCGTCGTCCCGCAGGGCCCGGGCTAGGGGCTCGCACAGGTACTCGACGATCCGGTCCACGCGGATGCAGCCCATGGTACGCACGGCCAGGGCGCGGATGAGCGGATTGGCGTCGTTCGCGTCCTTGCAAAAGGTGTTGACGGCGAGGAGGGCCAGGTCCGGGTTGCTTTTGGCGTAGTTGATGATGTACAAATACACAAGTTTTTTAAGCTCCACATTGGCCGTTTGAATGCAGTTTACCACGTCCGTGAAGAGCATGGACACGTCCTTGCCAACGGTCATGTTGGCAATGACCTTCTTGACCGCGTCACGTTTCTTATCTTTGTTTTGAGATTGAAGCTCTTCGCGGAGCTCATGGGTTTCGCCCTTCTTGCTGGTATTGTGGAAGAAGCGAGAATCCGAACCACCGCCGATTTGCCCTACCGCCGCCCGGGCATTGCGAGTGATCTGATTGATCGTACTGCTGATGCTCATGCTTGCAGCGCCGTGTTTTGCGGCGCAGCGGCCACCCCCTGTACAGTGTCGATGGTAACCAGGTCCAAGGACCGGGCCAGAAAAGCACATCAAACGCGGAAAGGGTAAGACATGGAACAAGCCAAACAAAGAGGAGACGTTACATTATGGTGTTTAAAACAGGATATCAGCCCCGTAATGTCGGATTAAATACGGGAATGTCAAAATGATCGCACACATGAGGACAATGTCATCATGAACACAAGGTGCAGTTGGCTGAACTCCCCTGGCCGGGGCTAACCCCCCGAGAAAGGTCACGTACTGAGACCATGTGCGCATGTGACAGACAAATCAAGAGGTGCACGCGGGATTCCTCCCGAATTGAAGCAGTGACTTTGTTCACAGCAAGGTAAGAGCGGAGACGACGATGGTAGTGAGAAAGAAGTCCTGTTTTAGCGAGCAGTAGGCCATTGCGGGGCAGACGCCGCTGGCAAAACGCACCGCCGCACTCAATACGTCCACGGTGACAATATCACCACGCTCCTCGCATCAGCAACGGAGCAGGAATCGTACGCGGCAGGGCATAATAGGGGCGGACTCCAGGGTATCGCGCGCATGGGCGCTCGACATACATCGCCTCTGATCGCCTTGGTTGCCCTACCAGTCCACTCCCTAGCCCCCCAATCCCGGTTTACACACTTATAAAAGATCCTGGAAAGCAACTTTCGGTTTGTGAAATCAGGAAATACTCCGGCACGCGTATAAATTACGTGTAGGGGAAACATCGCGTTTCTTTGAGCTAGGATTCCAATAAACGTATTACATCATTGCCATACCCCACATTGAGAGGTTCCTCAGGCGGTGCTGCTTATAGGAGTATTTTTTCTTTTTTTTTCCCGATCGAACACGCCGTGACGTTAAGTAAATTGACAGTGATTCGAAATTGGGCAGTTGTGCAACGGGGAGGGGAAAGTGGAGGATAGGGTGCCGGTCAACGAGTCCATGAGCGAGACAGTGGCGACGACCGAGGGAAAAGTCGCCCTCTACAAACGGATGGACCGGGCCAGGAAGGCGCGAGCAGTCCGCGAGTGACGGGCATAGCAAAAGAAGAACTGAGCCCAGCCGAGCATCCAAGACCGCCGCGCTTGCTGTCCATGGGTGGAAGAGAAGTAGCCTCACCACTTCCCTCCCTCAGTCATGAACCGCACGCGGACCGCTTAGGGCCTGAAGATGAGGTTAAGGGGCATCATTGGTCGAATCGTGGCCTCTTAGTCTCTGTCCGTGCTTTTTAAAAAGGAGGACGCTTGACTCTCGCCTGAAAGCCACGCAGGCCCATGTCCGAGTAGACGGGGACAGGGGAAACCGCGCAGGGAGGGGCCCAGGGCGATCCCTCTTTGAGGTGGCGCATGACTACCGCTTGCTCGTTCAGAGTGCTCTATCGTTCACTAGCACGGGTCTCAGGGGCTCTGCGATGAGGAATGTCTCAAGCTCTAGGCTGTGATGGCGTCCACGAAAGGAGGGGCGGATTAGGGGTCCGACGGGGCAGGAGCAGAGACCGGGGTCGATGAGGGGGAAGGCTGGGAGTCGCAGCACTTGGTGAGCTACACCCCGGAGCGGGGGGGGAGAAAACTGACTTACGGGTGGGAAAGGGGGGGGATTTGATTTTGGCGTATTTTTAATGGCTTCTCGTACAAATTTTGAGTGCCCTTGTCCACAGGCATGTGTCGGCTGGGAGGACCCTCCTAGCCAAGCACCCTGTACTCAAAAAGCGCGCGAGAAACGGCGTGTTTCTCGAGCACCCGGCAGCTCTGCCAATAAACTGATTCCAAAACGAAGAATGAAGGTTTGATTCTTTGAGCTTTTATCGTTTCCATCATGCTCTGCCCTTGAGTAGTAGCTCCTTGGCCTGTGTCACGTGGGAGAAGATGCGTTACTACTCGCCTCATCGACCCGACGGTCTACTCCTGATCCCGGAGCTACACATTCATACCTCATTTATCTTTGACGCAAGATAAGTAGATCCGCCCGTGTCGGGGTGGTTGAGCATGAGAATTCGCCGATGCGCCTCCTTTATCCGCTGGGGGGACGCGCTTTCCCTGTCAGATCGCACACGGAGCCTGTGGAATGAGGTTTCGCCTTTAAAAGTACAGCCAGTCCCTAAAACGTACCTGACTCCCAAAATGAGGGCCGCCTCCCGTCGAGTCATTTTATCCTCAAAGCCCCCCTCGTAAAAGCGCTTGGCGAACAAGGAGCTCATACCCCCTGAGAAACCCCCGCCCCCTCCGCTCTTCCCGCCGTCTGCCTTGTCTTCCGCTCCCTCTGCCGCCTTCTTGGCTTGCCACTGCTTGTAGGCCTGGTAAGTGGGTGGAACGCGGGGCCTGTGAGACGAGCCAAGAAAGGAGCATGGGGACAGGAGGCATGCACGCCGCGCATCACAATCACACGTACCCGCAGTCCGTACTGGAGCGCCAAGGCCCCACCTGCCACGACCAAGCCACCCACTACAAGGTTTTCTTGGCGCCTAGTCGCATGCAATGCCCGGATTTGTTGCCATTGGCTCATTAAGCGGCTGTCTTCCCCCGCCCCACCATGGCTCATGGTGCGAACAAGTCGTCGAGACTCCCATCTTCTGTGTAGGAAGACCAGCGAGTCAATTTCATGCATCGTTGATCTCTATACACCATCTCTATTTTTCTTTGTCAAGCCCTCACCTTTGTATTCCTTTGCTGCGCTTCTCGCCCTGAGCGTCCGTTGAGAGTGACGGCGGTTGGATGGCTGATGTAAGGGAGCTTAACCAACTACCGCATCGATATGGTGGCACCAGGACCAGCGTACCAGTCGCATGCCTTACGTTGCTGGTTAGGCATGGAGGCAAGGGGACACTGCGGAAGATTCTCATGTGTATGCCCTTCCCTTCGTCAGTAGTAGGAAAAATAACGTGGGAAAGGTGCAGCGTAATTATACAACAAGACAATTTACTTGCAGCATCCTCGCGCATGGACGCCGCAGCAACACAGGACTCCCTTTCATTTGTCTGTCATTTTCGCACCTCTTCCCCCACACCACGTGCGTGAAGCGCGTTGAAATTGCGACAAAGGGAAGCGCCGGATGGGGAGGAACAAGCCATCTGCAGTCGCTGCAGCACTCGTTCCAAGGAGCTCGAGCCGCTAAAATTCTTCATCATAGGAACCTCAACACTGATGGTGCGATGAGGCATCCGAATTCCTTAACACAGTAGCATGAGCTTTGAAAGATACAAGCGAACCACTCCCCCCTCCGGTCCACTCAACTCTTTCTGACGCGTGCACGGTTTCCTTCTTGTGCAAGACTTTTTGGACCAGGTAAAAGGCATATTTTTTTAGGGGAATCTCAACGCCTGGACGTTGCCAAAACATATCCTCGTTGAGATGAGGGAATATGTCGATCACCCAGTGCGTGCTATATGCAGGCACAGGCAAGTTAGTATGAATTGTGGGGGCTAGCAAAGCATCATATTATAATTAAGGAGGACGCGTCATATTTGAATAATTTATTTATGTTATCAGCCTCAGCCTTTAAATATGTCTGAACATGTAATGAAACAGTCCGTCGCAACCATTTACGCGTCTATTCTACGTTCCTCACCACCCCGCACGAAGGACGAAGAGATAGCTAGATCACAGGTCGACACGTTTTCTCCCTGTCCCCCCCGACCCGCTGCCCCCCTCACTTGAGTTATCCTTCGAAGCACGACGTCGTTCTCTCTTCTGTGCGATTTGACGTTGTTTTCGCTGGTACTCCGGGTTCTCGCCCACCCCGAACATGGGGCAGTTGAAACATCCACGCGAAGGGCAGTTCCCGCACCGGAAATCCTTGTTGCCGCTGATCTCCTGCATCCCCTGGTCCCCCCCCGAGGAGGAAAGGAGCCCATCAGAGCCAACCAGTCGGGCCTTATAGTTGATAGTCATGCCTGCCCGCTCCTTCTCCAGGCGCTCCAGCTCCTCGAAGGGCACGTAGTGAATGCAGTCGACGGGGCAGGTCTCGATGGCCGTCTGGATCGTGCGGGGACGGTCCTTCCACTGCTGAAACACGCGCGCCCTGCCGTGCTCGTCGTCCATGTAAAAGGTGTTGGGCGCCGTCATGGCGCAATTTGTGCAACCGATACAAGTGTACTCGTCCACATAGACAAACCGCGCCTGTTTGAGCGTCCCTTCCTCGTCCCGGTCCACAAACTGGTGCGAAGGAGTCTCTTGCAGCTTCGGTGTAAAGCCTGTCTCTAGTTCAACAAGTTTGATGCCAGTGTACGCGCTGAGTTGCGCGGCACTTGCGCCAGAGGCCATCATTTTGGAAGCCTGTTCAGCCTGTCGCTGCTTTCGCTGCAGTTCAGCTATGTCCTCGGGGCCGATGTCCTCATAACCACCCGGCCCGGCTACAACGCCTCTCTTTCTCACTACCGAGAATCCAGTGCCATCTTCCTCTCCGCTTTTATCTTTCACACCTTCCATTTCATTGCCAAGCATCACAACGAGGCTCGCCTTTTTCAAAGGCTTTGATGGAAATTGCGCCGCCGCACGCCGCGCAGGGTTTGGGATAACCACAAATGCTCCATGCATTTGTACGAGCATTAAAATTAGCAGCAGTATGGCAGTCCTGTTGTGCCTAGGGACCGACGTCTGAGAAGACCGGTGGGCATGCGAGGACGCGCGCCATCCGGCCATGGTATGTCACGCTGGAAGCTCCCAGGAATAGCAGGCGCAAAGCACAGAAATACGAAGCGCGCAAATGTTCCGCACCCTTTCTGGAAGGTCCTGATACAGATCTAGAGGTGTGAATTAGCAGCGTCAGACGGCATACATTTGAGTGGCATTTGCGACCAAATGTGCAGGGTGCGCTTCGAGTGATTTGAAGAACAAATACACGGGCAAGGCGCGGGATCTCAATAACCTCCTGCCCTTAGCGTCTAAAGAAAATACGTGGACATTGCACGACAACAGACAGCAACGAACAGATCATGGACACAGCCTCCCTTTTGTATTCTCTTTTGCTGGCAACAAGTGTACTGAATTGAGAATCATCTTACAAACGTCATAAGTTCTGAACTGCAGAGAAGGGGGCCAGGCGTAATGCTTTATCATATGGATTAGATGGCTGACGCGCCTTCACGAAGCTTTGCCTCCAACATTATGCTACACAATTTTAGTTACATAACTAGGTTGTTCATTCTGAAGGTAATTTATAGCGACAACGCATGAGATTCCCACATTCGTTTCTACGTTTCGCCAAAGAAAAAACGGACACGACAGTTGCCCTGCCATTTATACGTTGGAATCGGTTTTCTCATTCTGTCATGGTCTTTCGCTTTCCTCAAGCATTTCTCTCTCTCTCCGCACCATGGTCTTCGGCGAGCCCTAGTTATCACAATGAGTTTCTGAATTTATTATTCCCTACTAAAAGTGCACTGTGTATTATGTATAAGATACTACCTTTTACTATTCCATGAATGCCCATGTAAGTACTCTTCACTCAACTAGCCTACCGTACTTTCTCGAGTTCTGCCGTCTCCCCCTCATTTTCGAATCTTTACTGCTGTCAACGCTCAAAGGATATTAATTATGTCCATCTCGCGGCAGCCATTTCACTGTATCTCGCCATGTATGTGTATGTATACCTCTAACGCTGACAGTATGTCTCAGGACACGAGGACGACGAAATGGGGATGCCATTATGTTCAGTCGGTCTTTCCGGTCGTCACGATGTTGTCGTTTAGGATTCCCATTTTCAAACCCATCACATGGCGCTCTTGTTCCCACACTCGCATTTTTGTTCCCCGTCCTGCCCACAACGAGAGACTGTCAATCATCGTAGGCTCATTTCACGTTCTTAGATCGTTTTCGTTGCCGTTGTCGCTCGCTTGTTCGCGTCTGTTGCACCTCCTCACCTTCACGATCAGTCGACCCACCCGTCGCCGTCACGGGCCTGGCGGCGGAGGAGGAGTGCAAAGTCTCCACATTCTCCTTCTGTCCGCGTGGCTCCCTTTCCACCCCTCCAGAGATGGTACTTTCGGAATCGGATCGCCCCGACCGCGCATGTGAGGCGCAGCCCGGCAGTGGAGCCCAGTATTTCTCCTTCTTGGAGTCAAAGAACTCCCGCCATTCCGGCCAGTGCTCCCGACGGATGTAGGACAAGGGCGTAGCCCCCCGGCAGTCCACGACGCGGATAAGTGAAGGGTCCTGGTCCATTATGGCGGACACGCAGTCGAAGACTGGGACCTTGGCCCAGCAGGCGTCGTGCAAGGGAGTGCGGCCCAGGTCGTCGCACATGTGGACTCGGCCCCCGTTCTCGAGGAGGAACCGCAGAGTCTCGGCCTGGCCGCGCCGGCAGGATATGTGCACGATACTCTCCCCAAAACGATTGCAAGCGTCCATCTGTCGCCCCGCCGCGGCCATATCCCGCAGGCTCCCCAGATCCCCCGTCCTGACCGCCGTGACAAGGGGGATGTCGTAGTCCGTCACTTGCTTGGCGGTGGGCGGGCGGAAGAAGGCCTGTGTCTTGGCGAGCAGTGGGGATGTTTCGTAACCCCTTTCTTGGAGAATGCCCCACAAAAAGTCCTGCGGGGAGGCCTCGTTGTTCAACAACGCCGGCTCCGAGGCGGGCCTTGTCATTTTTTTGCGCGGACGCTTGCAGCCGGCGCCGCTTGGGGGGGAGCATGACAAAGGAATGACGCCCAGGGTGTCCATACTATCGCTGTCAAATATTTGCTGCTGGTGTCGTTGAAGCACCATGTCTACGCCCCAAGTGGTCGTATTTTTGCTGGCCTGCTCCCATTCTTCCATTGCGAGCAACCTGCCTTTCTCCTCCACGTCACCCGTGCCGGAACCCCTATCCGCCGACGCGGTATGGCTGGGAGAGACGGTGACCGCGTCGTCGTTACTAGCGTTGTTCAGAAGCTCTCGGCAGTGCTCAGGTTCTGACGAGAGAGTGCTCGCCTTGTCAGCTCCGAAGAAACTGTCAGTGCTGGCGCTGTGCGATATCCTGTTCCCTGCCACACCATGAACAGGGCTCATTGCCGCCTCCGGAGATAAGGCTCCAGACGTGTTGCTCGACTGAGACTGAGCCATATTGGTGTCTTGAGCCTCCGAGGGCCAGGAGGACGCCGTTTCGCATGCAGTCATAGTGACTCACGGGACACAACGGCAGGCAACCTGGTCAGAAAGTCTTGGACTTGGAAAAGACAAACTAGGTGACCGTGGAATGGCAGCAAGTCGTCTCGTTTCCTCCCTTGTCCCCGGCTAAGCGGCAAAAAGCTGTGTTCTGTGGGACTGAAAGGAGATAGGCGACCAAAAATGTGAGCTGGCGAGCCGTGTCAGACATGAGTTCAGCCATCAGCGCGACATGTGGCGCGTAAATGCACATTCGCACTGTTTCGGGAACAGAGCTACCGTCGCATAGGCTCAATAGGGTTGCATTTCAGTTGTTGCATGCAAAAACACATAATGTGCCTGCTAGGTGCCTGAACCGGTCGGGCACAAGTGCGACGACTGCCCCGTCGCACGGTCGCTACGTCAGTCTCACCACGCAAAGTTTCAGGAGAAAAAATTGGGCTTGAAAAGTCATACGAGTTACTGAATGCATGCGATCATGGAAATTTGTCAGCAGCAGACGGGGAAAGTGTCAATATGAGCCACTTTCACTCAGTCCCTGTTCCGAGGTAAACAAGTCTTCGGTAAAGGGCGCAAAATGCAGTTGAATGTCACGAGACACATCTTTTCGTTTCATGAAATGTACAGATTCATGGCACGAGGTGCCATTGGTAGCTGTCTAAGAAGTGAGAATGAGGGAAAGGAAGGGACTGCGTGGCCGAGTAAGCAAGACACCTACGCAGAGAGCTTTGGAGTATGGGGAGTGAAAGAGCGACTCATCGGATTAGGTGGTGTGTCAGAGCTTGCTTGCGGATACTTCGCTGTTGCAGGCCCTCAAACATGTGGTTTCTACACGCCGGAAGTCCGAAAAATGAAAGACTGAGCAAGAATACGTCAATTATTGTTTACCACGCACCTGCATGCTTTGTCGAAATCCTGTGTTGGACTTAACGAGGCCCCAACTTCATTACACGATCCCAGGGAAAAAGACCCGTGCTTGCTGACGTTGCACCGCCGATGACACATTTTGAACCGTCCATTCAACCGTTACGCCGCCCCAGCACGAGAAACATCATGCGAGCGGCTCTACATAGCCTTTGTATGTGCCGGCACTCTGGAAAAATCTTGTGTGGACTGATTACACTTTGATTCAATCATACGTGACAGGGTGATGTCGCTTGCGCCTTGGCCCAAGCGGCGGCCTGATGGATCCTTTGAAGCCTCCAAACTACCGATCTTTGAAAGGAGCGCGACTTTCAGCGGGAGGAAGCGTGCGAGGTCAGCAAGCGAGACGGAGCAGCAACAATATGATAGCAGTTGCCCTCTTCAAAATGATGTGTCATCGGAGCATCTTTCGGATGTAGTTGCTGCTATTTTGCTTTTAATCCAACGCTTCTACCAGGGAACTAGCACGAACGATTCTCGGAGGCTGAAAATGGAAAACTGTCCTGTAGTCCTGCAACATCAGCTCTACACGGTCCTAGACGATCATACGTCCGTTGACGTCGAACTCGAGGACTTAAAGACGAGCAATCATGTGCGCCTATTTCGTCTCCTTACTTTGCGGCGCGACATTGGTGTGCTCCTCACCTCCACTTACAAAGCTCGCGTTCAGGCCGCCTTTGCAGCGTTCGCTCAACAAGAGGGAACACGAGGACGGGATGAGAATATCACAGAATCAATATGCAACAGTGTGACTGAGAGAGAAGAAGATGGAAACGACAAGAGATCCAGAAACAGCAGCGTGCAGGCCTCCAAGCTCTCGGCGCGACACATGGCCCTCGTCTCCGATTTCTTCCTGAAGACCGTGGACCGAGTCACGAATATAAGTATGACACAACACCAGCTAGAGAGTCTGTGGGGAGAGTACACGCAGAGTATTTCCCACTCCCAAGCGCCCGCTTGCCCTAGATCAAGCATGTCCGCCGGCCCTGGTAAAAGGCGAGCTGCTCCTTCCCTGCTTCCGAGCATCGATGAAGTCACACGCGTTCTCATTCATTATGGTTTTCTCGCGCGGCGTGTCGATGCTGTGTACGAAGGACCTGCATATTGGTTCTCAGCCCCCGAACTCGGAAGTGTGACCGCCTCCCTGCCTCGCGGCCGCAAGGCCATCCTGGCGGCCCTGGCACGGTCGCGGTATAAGGAACTTTCGGAGCAGAACTTGGGGGCTTTGCGGCTTAAGGGGACAGCGCTCTCGCTCTCTTTTCATATGGCGGATCTGGTTGGGAGTGGGGAGGTTTTGGCCGTACCCACAGCCTCTGGAATGTTTTTAAGATTGCCCGCGCGAACGGCGTCCGGCGCCACTGGAAGATGACGTGAAGGCCATTGATCCAAGAAACATGCCGGCGCAATTTTGAAAATTATCTTGTGAAAGAAAATCTAGTCAAATGAATATCAAATTAGATAGTACCCAGAAGGTAACTGAAATTTTGTCCATCTTAAACTATAGAGGCAAATTGCTTCCTTTGCTCTTCCGAGATACAGGCACCAAAAATGCCGATCTGGCGTAGATTAATCCTCTGTGCGCTCCATTTCCTTTCTGACTTGAAAGACTCTGATAGCCCTCGTTTCGAGTAGCAGCTATCATGTACGCTGCCTCCACATAATAGTTGGAGTTGGCGAAGATGGGCTAGAGCCACCGGGCTTGGGAGAGACAGTGACCATGAGAAAGTCGGGTCGACACTAGGGGAACATGGGCGGAGAGAGGAGACCGGTCGTCTCCGGGTACCCAAACATGACATTGAAGTTCTGGACGGCCTGACCTGAGGCCCCCTGGGGAAGTGACACAAAGTATGAGTGAATGTGTTGACATTCGAGGGCTCAATTGCTGAGGAGGAAGCGCGCTGGGCCGTACAGGGGGCTAAACGTCCGCCACTTTGAGCGTTGAAAATAGGGAGAGTATTGACGCGAAAGGCCTGTAAGCTCCATCGCAGCTTTCACCCACGCGAGTCGCCTCTTACCTTAACCAAGTTGTCTATCGCGCTGACGATGATGGCCCGCCCCGGGACGCGGTCCGCGAAGACGTTGATGAAGCAGTGGTTGCTTCCCCGCACGTGCCGGGTTTCGGGCACCTTGCTGCCCTCCAGTACATGCACAAAAGGCTCCTGTGCGTACAGACCCTGCAAGTGCGCCTTCAAATCTGCGGCTGTCTTACCTGGGGCGGTTTTCACGTAGATGGACTCGAGGATCCCGCGTGACATGGGCATCAAGTGCGGCGTGAAGTTGATGACCACCTCCTTGCCGCCTGCCGCCTCCCGGAGGCCCTGCTCGATCTCGGGAGCGTGTCGGTGGGAAGCGATTCCGTAGGCAGAGATCCCATCCGTTACTTCGCAGTAGAGAATGTTCTGGGGTGTGGAAAAACGGGAGCATCCACCATGCGGTTGGGGGTGACGCGGCTGGTCGATACGGCGCGCTATCCTCACCACCCCACTCGCGCTTAGTGAATCCTCCCTTTAGCTTCTTCGCGCCATGTGTACCCTATAACTCCCTTCCTACCTGCTTCAGGGAGCGCCCCGCGCCTGTCGTGCCTGACTTGGCGTCGATGATGATGTCTTCCTGGGAGACCAGGCCGCTCCGCAGGAGCGGCACGAGCGGGAGCTGGGCCGCGGTAGGATAGCAGCCAGGATTGGCCACCAGCCGGCAAGCTTTTACCTGATCTCGGCTAAACTCTGTGATGGCATAGACGGCCTCTTTCTGGAGCTCGGGGGCCTTGTGCTCGCCCCCGTACCACTCCTTGTACACCTCAATGTCCGCGAGCCTGAAGTCGGCGGATAGGTCCACCACCTTAACGCTGGGCGGCAACGAGGCGATCACCAGCTGGGTTGTGGCGTGTGGGAGGCAGCAGAAGATGACATCGACCTCCTGGCCCCACTTCTCGGGAGACATGTCCTCGAATTTGCTGAGCCTGGGGAGATCCTGGGTCGAACACAGGGACGGACGTATTCGATTTCAGTCTTTCGTCTAAACACTGTCTGACTTTAGGCGCTATAGGATTAAACCACGCCTCTTGCTCCACCTTGTTTTCGTCACGACTCTTCATCGAGATGAAGCGCAGCTTTCAGTGAGACGCACCTTCACGTAGCTGAACTGCGGAAAGACCTCGCTGAAAGCCAGGCCTGCCGAGCGATCCGCCGTAAGGTATTTGATTTTGGCATATGGATGCTGCAGAAGGATGCGCATCAATTCCGCACCCGTGTACCCAGAAGCACCCAAAATGCCGACCCTCGCGCTGGGCACCGATGACCCCCCTCTGGCGGCGGACAAGGTCGTTGTACGACCTCGTCGAGGGTTGAGATCACAGGTCGTCTGCATGGATGGTGTAATACATCATAGCGTCAAATGTGCACGCGGTAAGAAGCCCGATTCATCACTCACCAATGCCTTGGTGCGTCCAAAGGGGCTAGCGCTAAATTGAAGGAGGAAAGCCTGTGCGGAGGCCACCAGAAGGCAGAAGCAGCTCACTGTTCTCGACAACGACGCAACGTTGTGCAACATATTTTTTGCTTCCTCCTGCGATATGAATGGAAATCAAAGTACTCAGTGTCAAGCTTGCGTCCATACGTGGATTTTCAGGAATTTGTCGCGGGACACGATGGGGTGGGGCGTAGGAGATGCTCTTCGCTGCTTCCAGGCATTTGGCGACTTCATGGAACCCACATTTGTAGAAATGTCAAGAGGGGCTGGCTTGATTTATGATACAGGTGGGTATGATACGGTTGCATCTCGCACTGTGAGATCGCGGCATGCGTGTTCATTTCTCCGTCTGACTCCGAGCAGGAAGGGGCTTGAATTGAACGAGAAGCCAAGTATCTTACATATCAAATTGATCGCTGTGCGTCCCATCGCTTGAAAGCGTAGCTTCGACAGTCATATACATTTGATGTGTACATATATACACTTTCACTGAACAGGCAGCAGAGAAGTTGTATGTGGGTGGGTGACACTTTCCGAACGCGAGGCAATAAAATACAAGCGGTAATATGGACACACAAAGAATAGACACGGCGAGTGATCATGCTCAGAAAACCCTATCAGGAGGTGACGGGGCAGCGAGCGCGAAGCAACCCAGCGTTGTCAGGCATGATGGTCCTCTTGTATGTATAGACCGTGGCCAATCTGCTCTTCCCGAGCAAGGCTACGAGTTTTTAATGGAGACGCTTGGATGTGATTTGGGGAGCGAGCTCCTGGGGTCCAGCAAGGAGGAGTACGGGGCACGATGGCTGAGAGAAGTACGATTGCGCTTTCAAGAGCGGAGATACGAGAAGACTTGGGAGACGTTTTTGGAGAATGGGGGCAAGTGCGGCGGGCGGTGCACATACTGGGCCATCCTGCAGGTTCCTTCGGACAGATCATTTGACCTTCACGTCCACCCGTGCTTTGAGGTCCTCCACGTCCTTCGCGGAAGGCTTTACGAGAGGCGCATGCTCGGCCCCCCTCTATCCCTAGCAGAGGAGGAAGGCAAGCCAGTTCGGGAGATGGCGCCTGTGGACCTATCTGGGCTGTGCCCGCCTCCCGACTTCCGGGATGGTGTCTTCCAGGAGGACACGATCAACGTGAACGAGATGGGCAGCGTCCATCAAAGCTGGACAGGCGAGGAGGGCTGCATCATTTTACTACTATGGGCCGGAGGGCATTGCTTTATTGATGGGGCTTGTTTGCCGCAGGGCTATGAAAAGGGTGGATGCTGTACAGAGAGCGTGAAGGATTGAAATTTCCCCGTCTGAATCTGGTACCCGGCTTGCGATGTAGCGGGACAAGGGTGAAAACGGGCGAAATGCAAAAAATGAAGCAAAGCGAAGCAAACTTTGACGATCTCCATCCTTTTTGGGGGGGGAGCCCTATGTCGTCTTATAGGAGGGCGCATTTCCTTCCTGCGTCCTAAAAATAAAATGCAACGGACGACTTTACAGCAAACTCAGTTGGACGCTCAGACATCGAACTGTCGTCAAAGACAGTCTAGAAGGCGTTGGGCATGTCGGGCAGGCTCTGTGGGCCGCTTTGTCCACTTCCCCCTTCCTCCCCTTCCTATCCCCCCCCCTTTACACCACTCCCGTCAACTCCAGAGATGAGACCATCATGAACTTAGCCGCTCCGTACTTCTTGCGGATGGCCTGCAGGGTCTGGGACCTGGAGTTCAGCCACGGTGAAAGGACGCGCAGGCAAGGAAGGAGAGCGTCCTCGCTGTACTTGGTGTAGTGGTTCAAGGTGGGCGACCAGGATCGCATTCCGCAGTTTTTCCGTGCCAGGTAAACGGCGGCGGCGGCGACCATGGAGGGCAGGAAGCAGAGGACGTCCACCTCTTGCAGTGTGCGCTCCGCGATGTAGGAGGCGAGGAAGTAGAGCTTGTTGTCCGCGTGGCCCGCCTTGAGGAAGCGGACCAGGAAGCAGTGGGTGGTGCAGACTGTGACCTGAAACTTGAGCGTGGCCAGCATGAAGGCCTCCATATCGATGATCTGCTTCCGCGTATAGGCGGCGTCAGTCATGTAGACTAGCTCCTTCACCTCCGGGGGGTAGATCTCTTCGTATTTGCAGGCGATCAGAAAGGCGGTCACCCCCACGAGCTGGAGCTTGGGCCGAGGCACCTGCTTCCGGTCCAGGAAGCGGTCGATGAGATTGACCGTGAGGTAGAGCGTCTCGGGACAGCACTTGAATTTGTAGTGTACCTCCACCAGCCAGTCAACCAGGATGGCGCGCATCCGTACATTTATGTAAGGCTGCTTCTTCATGTAGCCCGGGTCATAGCCTGGGCGGCACTCCTTTTCCCGGTAGTGCGAGTACTGAGACTCGACGTAGTCCACACAGGCCAGGGGGTTGGAGGCATCCAACGCGTCGATGTCGTCCACCCCCAGGCCCAGTACGGGCTGCGGAAGAGGATGAGAGAGGGAAGGTAGACAGTCCAAGGGTGAGCTTATAGTCCACAAGGGAAAGTCTGCACAAGTTCACGTACCCGCGCAGTGGAATACTTGAGGGTCATGCCCTGGAGGTCCTCGATGATGGCGCCCAGAGCCTCCTGGGACTCCGCCTGGATTGCTTCCTGAGGCTGTCAGGACGACGATAATTTGCGTTAGCATTCACTCGTCCACATGTTCCGTATATTTTCCCATCCATATACCATACGCACGGCTCCCACCTCGGTCACTTTTGCGTACTCACCATCTCTGAAGCCTCCTCGATGTGCATGTCGATTTCTTCTACCTCCTGAATTAAGTCCATGTCATCCACTGCTTCTTCCCGCCGTTTGCCGTCCATATCTGATTTCTGCAGTGCTGGAAGAGGTTGTTCGTAAAGCACGGGTGGCGGCGCCACCGAAGCCAAGCCAACACTGGAGGTTGCGCCTGGAAGGGGCCCCTCTCCGGCCGCTGCAGTTGCCCACATGGCGCGTGTCATAGGTTTGCTGGTATTATGCTGTCCCGGCTTTCCCGAAGGCGCGCCTCTGTTGTTGGTAATGTCGCCAAGTGCACGCCTGGAGGCACCCGAGGCAAGGCCGCTGCGAGTAGAGACGCCGGGCTTGATCAACGGACCAAGGCAATCTGGTCCTTGGGGTCCGTCGTCTGTTGCCAGCGCCTCATGCTCGTGCGAGGACGAATGCTTGCCATGAAATGTGGCAGCTTCACTGCGTGTAGCATGCATAGCTGATGTTTCTGCGTGTAGCGGGTAGAGATCGAATTCGCTTGAGTCAACGACCACGACTGTCATAGTCTTGTCGACTCGCGGAAGTGGCAACGACCACTCTGCAAGATCGTTTAGTTGATGAAGCGGGAGGAAAAAGGCTGACTAAAATACGACAGCGCAAGCATGCTATTGGCGTGCAGCAATCAAACATTACTTTCGATGAACAGATTATTGCGGTCATTCCATGCCTTCACGGACCATGGAGTTGTTGACTTTCTTTTTTGCGGATCGAGCGGGGATGGGTCGGTCAGACATGGACGTTGCACAATGAAGACACAGCCAAACATTTTCATCGCAGTTCCCGAGCAATCACCGCCAAGTACCACAAAAACCAATCGATGCAGCGCTCTCTCACCACCTCATGTCCACTCCTGCGTGTTTTACGCGCGGGGCGGGCAGCCAGGACGGTGATGGCACCCAGAGGCCGGGGCCGTTACCGTTGAAATTCGTATCGCTCCTTTGGCGGCAAAGCCCGCTCGAGCCTGTGGGAGACCGGGGGCCACGGGCACGGACCGGCATCGAGGTCGGGCAATCGCGGTGGGAAATCGGCTTGTATAGTTAAATTGTAATGTTGAGCGTCTTTTTTTCCTGCGGCTGTCATGACAGCAGCTCAACATTGGTATGATGCGGCGTTCTGTTTCTTTGGTAGCTTGTCGACCTCCCCTCCCCCTACTGTTGCCCTCAAGACTCATAGCCCATTTTCTGAAATCCAAATACACTCTAATCAGGATTGCACGGAAGATATGTCGATAAATAAGGATGGTACATCTCCTGCCGTACCAGTGTACTCTTTTTTTACGAACTGTCTGGTACGTGATAGACCACTTGGTATTTGTGAGTGACTCGGCAGTAGAGTTTGGGTGTTCCTTCAAGCTTATGATTGACTACTTTTTGATGATTCGTGAAAACAAAATGAGAAATATCTTGGGGAAATTCAAGCTGAAAGGTCGCCTTGGAAATGGGAAAAAATTTTATGCACTTGAAGTATGTACTCATTACTATTGCTTCTCAGGCTGGCGGTGCAGCGGGAACGGCCGTCGACATGTCATTATTCCCGCTCGACACAATTAAAACAAGGTAAGCGGATGGTACATGTAGAAAATTGTGGATTTCCAAGTGGAGAATCCGAAAAAAATTGTTGAAAGACACCACCACGAGAAATCGCTGGTGGAGGTCTTGGGACATCACGACAGAAGTCGTCACATCCAGTGGGGCAAAATAGTGATATTTGAAACCATTCACTTACATTTCTGAGTGATTCTATGTATATTTAGAGAGGCTAAAGCTATAATGCTAGTCTCAAGGCGGAGCCAACCACTTCAGTTCGTAAAATGACATTTCTACCCGTGCTACAGGCTCCAAGCTTCGGAGGGATTCTGGAAGGCTGGAGGATTTCGTGGGGTTTACAAAGGGCTTGGAGCAGCCGCAGCGGGATCAGCTCCAGGCGCTGCTCTCTTCTTTTCCATTTATGAAACAATCAAAATTGAGGCAGAGCCGTTAGTATCTGATCGCCTCGCGCCACTGGTGCACATGGTGGCAGCCTCTGTGGGGGAGACGGGTGCTTGTCTTATCCGGGTGCCGACCGAGAATGTGAAACAAAATTTGCAAGCAGGTAGATACAATACAAATGCGGAGGCGTTACGGACGATCTGGAAGCAGGAGGGTGTGATGGGCTTCTACAAAGGCTTCCTTTCTACGGTTTTTCGAGAGGTAACGCGAGCCAGATGATACAGGGTCAAAATGGGAAGGAGCAGTGTGCACCTCTTCTCTTTCCAGACATGCGTACGACTAATCCTTTCAAAAGCCATAGGTGTGTTTGTTTCCTTACCAGACCTGGCACAAATCCAAGTTTTCACGAATTTCCGGGGGAATTTCTGCCTCTGTATCCCGCAGATCCCCTTTTCGTTCCTCCAATTTCCCATGTACGAGGCAGCCAAAGCTTTCTGGGCGCAAGAGCAAGGGAGGCCCGTGTCGCCTCTCCAAGCGGCGGCGTGTGGATCCGTAGCCGGGGCAGTCGCCGCCGCAGTCACTACCCCTCTGGACGTGATTAAGACGCGCCTCATTTTAGAAAAGGACATGCAGGGTCGGAAATATCACGGCATCGTCGACGTGTTCCGACGCGTGGTCGCGGAGGAGGGGCCCATGACGCTCTTCGCCGGGGTCGCCCCAAGGGTGATGTGGATCACGATTGGCGGTTTCGTTTATTTTGGAGCCTACGAGGAGGTGCGGCGCTTGCTTTCTCCTGTCTTCCCTCCTCCTCATCCGCATTTTCCCGATGCCTCAGCCTCTGGAAAAGTAGGAATCTTGTAAACTAGTGGGTGCGGCGCCGGCTTTCAATCTGGACGCCCGTAGAGGAACATGACAGCAAAGCAAACTCATAGCATGCTTGTACCCCTCGTCCGGACTTATCCTTAGGGATGCTTATTTTCGTTCTTATTTGGTCCCAAACGCCCCCGACACGCGATATTACCGCTTACAAGTTGGCCACTATGGCGTGCGAAGCCTTTCCGTCCAAGGCATAACTTCAGGTCAAACCTAACGACTTCAGAATCTTTGCCATCCCCTCCCCTGCGCCCTTGGATCCTGCTTCTGCAGGCTCCCTCCGCCAAAACACCTTTTCTCTGGGACTTCGGGCTCTCATCCCACAAATTACGCACAGCAAACTTCCCACTCTCCTCCTTCCCTACTACTTTGAAGATGGCCCCTCCCCGTCCGTGACCAGAGCCTCCCACGCCTTCCCCTCAACTTCGGGACCCCCCGGCAGGGACGCCTCGAACCAGTCTTTCTTTTTCCTCTTGGACGCCAGGTGTTGCTCCAGCACCCGCAGGAACAGTTCCTTGTCCAAAGTTGCTGTTCCTTCTCTCGCTCCATATGCTGCTGCCTGCCACGCTATCGCCAACTTTGAGATCTCTCGGCCCGAGAACCCAACAGTGACCTTCGCTGCGTATTTCACCTCCTCCTCTCCGATCCCCTCCACCGTTATGGGCCGCGCCTTGGTCGATGGTGGGTTGAGGACGTATTTTTCCAGGTAGATGGTGACCATCTCCAGCCGCTCTTCCTCCCCCGGGAGATTGAAGTCGACCATCTCGTCGATGCGGTCGTTGATAGCCCAGTCGAACTGCTCGGGCTGGTTCGAGGCGAAGACTACCATGAACTTGTCGCTGGCTTCCCCTGTCCGGTACAGGAAGGCATTCAAGGCATTCCTGAGCTCCTCAGACATATGCTCCGTGCTGCGTCGGCGCAAAAAGGCGTCTGCTTCGTCCACAAAGAGGAGCACGCCCTTCCGTGTGGTGCCCGCCCAGTCGAAGACCTTGTGGATCTCCGTCACTGCCTCCTTGCCCAAGGGCGCAACGTCTCCGCCTGTCAGGATCGCATAGTCCAGACCGGAGTTGGCGGCCAAGCCCTTGGCAAAGAGGGTCTTGCCTGTCCCCGGGGGGCCGTGCAGGAGCAAGTTCCGGAAGGGAGCCCCGTTCGCCTTGGTATTGGCCGTGGAGATGGCCACGCGCGTCAGCCGCTCCGTCAGGCCCTTCTCCAGCACCACCCCTTTGAGCGCGTCCTCTGCCTTGGTGGTGGTGAGGAGCCGGCGGAGGGAGGGTACAGGATTCCGCAGCACCTGGAGGGCGGTGCGGCGAGAGGTGTCCCGGACCAGGGAGGGCTTACCCAGCCGCGCCTCGATGTAGCGCCCTGCCACCCCAGTCGATGTCTTGGCCGCGTAGACCCCCAGAGCTACAGCCGAGAGCGTCACCGCCGCGGAGGTCAAGCGCTCTTTGTCGGTCAGGAACTCCTGCAGGCCCTTCCCCAACTCGGTGCTCGCGAGTTTGATCCCTTCCAGGACGGTTTCTCGGTACTCTTTCGCCTCGGCCCGCGCCTGTGCCACCCGTAAGTCGTGGTTCTGCCGCTCCTGCTTGATCCGTCCCTCTGTCTCGGCTTTCACCCGCGCCAGTTCCGTCTGCTGCCGGAGCTCCGCCTCGTACTCGAGCGTCTTGCGCTTGATAGCCTCCTGCTTGGCAAGGTACTCTTCCTGCTTCCGAAGCTCTTCTTCTTTCCGATACTTCTCTGCGTTCAGCTGATCCACGTACCGCTTACGCTCCAGCTGGTCCCTGTACTCGGCCCTCCGCTTTTCGTGCTCTGTCTGCGAGTCCAAGGTCTTGCGGGCTTCTTCTCCTTCCTTCTGGGCACGCTGGATCTCCAAACTCTTCACGTGTGCCTCATACTCTGTACGTCTCGCCTCCGCCTCCCGTTGTTTGCTAACTTCTTGTAGCTCGATCAATTTTAGGGCCTCGCGAGCATTTGTGGACTTGTCGAGCTCCTTGGCGGCTTTGGCAGCGCTGCGCATCGGGTAGAGTGATGGAAGAAAATACATATCACACGAATACCATATGAGTATGGCGTGAAAATAAAGATTGGGGCAGAGTTTAGACAATCGTTTCCACCATCTGGAATAGAATACAATTTCTCCACCATACCCCCCTACCGTTCGAGTCCTGACGGGTCGAAGAGGCCCGAGCCTTTTCCCCCGCCTTTGTTGCCTCGAGAGCTACTGCTGTCTCCCTCATCATCCTCCGCTCCCCCCAAGGCCTGCGCCAGCGCTTTTTCCCCCGCCGTATCCGGCTTTTTGGGGAAAATTCCGCTGAACATAAGCCTGTGGGTGTCGTCGTTGCGGAGTTCGGTGCGTAGGGGCACAATGAGAATGCGTTCCTGCGGACAGTCGCGCTCTTCCACGATTCAAGCCCATTACTTATCAAATCAAGCGCTCGTCTGCATTATTTTCTTCGTGTGTTGCGCTTTCAACCTGTAGAACGAGCTTTTGCGCGCTCCAAAAAAGGCTCTTGTAGCTAGATAACGTATGAATTACTATGGACTACCTTCCTGCATGCTATGCCGAGATACTTCAGCCGTGATACCAATTAAAACTTCCCATTAGCACATCTAGCAATAAAGTACTGTGTTGTACACACTAAGGGATGCGAAACTTCTTTATGGCGTCCAGAAAACAAAGTTGGAAGGCGAGAATATTTGTTGGAGGGTCTCAGTGAAAGTGACGAAGCGAGAGGAAGAGCTTATGTCCGTCCGATGCATGTGACGTCACGCAAAAGTGGTAGAGAGGCAATGGCCTCGTCTGGAGTGCAGGGATAGTTTGATTGCTCCTGCAGTGTTGATGCTTTTTAAATCCGACTTGGACTTTGTTTAAATACGGGTAATTTTGTGCCTCTCAAATTTCATCGTTAACCTTTTCTGATGAGAGTCGCACTCTGGTGGCGCCGTATGCAATTTTCAATTAATTTCGGAAATCCATGCGTCAACAACATACCCTTCTTACATGCATATCTTTCCGATACAAGACTGTCTGTGTACAGCGGTGCTTTTCTTGGAAGTCGGATGATACAGGTCGGAATTTCCGCCGAAACATATATAATTTTCTCCAGGCGGCTCGAAGGAAATCTCTTACATGGAAATTTACAAGAGCTTTGTGTCGGGTAGGGCGTATCGCCATCCCTTTGATTAAACCCACATCTAATATCAATTCATGAAGTGTTTCGCAGTGTCTTATGGAAGGCGTCGCATTGTAGACACGCTAATTGCAACGCTCAAACGCCCCTCGCGTTTCACAAGTCGTTCTTGAGACAAATATGTAATTCTGACGTTCTCTCCATTGACGAAAGAGATAGAACGAATTTAATGTTAGCCATACATTTAGCGAGAATTGCAGTCTGCCCCTCCTCCGTTGATTGTGCGTTTCTCGCACAATCCAATTTTTGTGAAGACCGAGCAGATCGCCCCCAGTCGTCACGTCAACATGGAAAGATACTCTTAGAGGGCCGCTGTGCACCACAAAGCGCCGCACATTTATAAGCTTCATCCCAATTCTACATCTTCCATGCCCTGGAAACTTCTTGGTCTTACCGTGGAGGTTGTGACAGGCCAGCTTCCTGACCGTCCATGTCTTCTTTTCCAGCCCCCTTCCGTCTTAAAATGACTCCAGTAACCCCATTAGTGACAGATGCTTCAAGCCTGCCACCGCTCCTTGAAATCCAGCATTATAATCCACACTGACCTCAGTGTGTTTGTAGTCCCGACAGTCGTCTAAATACATATCCTTTTCGTCAGGCCCTCCCACGAGGGCCCCGTACAGCGTATTAGCCGAGGGCGTGGTGTCGCAAATGCAGCCATATCTCCCACAAGACGCGGCCCTGTGGTGGATTGCTTTTGGAAAGGTAGAACCAAAGCCTACCACGTACGAGAAATTTCCGTTGTCCCCCAACATGTAATGAATCTGAGAACGCGCGAACGCCCGGTACGGCCCGGGACTCAGACCCATGTCTGCCGCCAGCAGGGCCAAAAAAGCCGTGTTGGCCGCCCATCGAAGCGGGCCCCAGGTCAAGTAGTATGTCAGACCTCTGGGCGTGCGCTTGATGGCGGTCGCACTCGACGCTTGAGGCAGCCAGTCGGCCAGGTAGGACGCGAAGACCTTCGCGTGCTTCGTGTCCCTCGTCAGCTGATACAAGAGTAAGTAGACGCCCGCATCCTTGCTATCCCATCCAAAAGCCCCCATGTTATCGCTTTTATTGAAAATTTCGGCTAAATTAAGGGCTTGAGACAGATACGACGCGCACCCGGTCGCTTTATGGAGCCAGGCCGCGGCCCATGCCAGCTCGTCTCTGTATCCACTCGACTCGTAGTAAGGCGACGATAGGGTAAACTTCCTCGGGTGCGCCATGGCGGCCTCGAAAAGCTGCTGCGCATGCAGCAGCAGCGTGTGGGCGTAGACTGGGTCGCGATGCTGGAACGCCAGAAACCCGGCCGCCATCGCGGCAGCTGCGTCCGCTAGGGGTTCGGTGCCTGGGACGGAGGCGTTGACCAGCAAAGCAGGACGGGGCTTGCTCTCAAACTCCGGGCGACCCCAGTACCGATGCTCGACTTTGCCATCCCCAACTTGAACGTACAGCGCGTCCGGGCCCACGTGCGCTTTAAGTAGCCAGTCAAGGGGCCATTTGACCGTCGCAAGCATATGCCCCAGTTCTCCCGCCTCCGTGTAGGCGTCCTCATATTCTAAAAGACCCCATATTAACACTGTTGTAGACGAGGCAAGAGGCCATCCAAATATGAGGTAGTCTCCCGCATCGTAGTAACCTCCACTCAATTCCACATCGCTATCGAACCCGTCCGCGATATTCGAGTCTCGCCGCCAGGGGATGCGATTGTCTGAGGGAAGCTTGCCTGCACGCTGCGCTTCATAAAATAGATTGGAGAGATATATCACCTGATTATAATTATATTTCTCGTTGGGAGCTTTCACTTTTTGCTCGGTCGTCTGGACGATACCAGCCGGCTCCAGGTTTGGAGGGGAGGACGGTTTATGTCTTCTTCTTCTGCGGGCTTCGGCCAGCACGATACCGTTTTTGCTTCCTTTTTGGTTGCATTTAATATCCCAACTCCCTCCCATCACTACCACTGCTATTGCCAATCGCAATAATTTCATCTCTTCGCCAGCCGCTGTCAAAGTAGTCGGAGTCTCGGTTGCAGTTCAATTCTTCATTAGAGACCACCGAACACTTTTCCTATAATACAGGGCTAGAGAAGTATATTGATATTTTGAATAATGAATGTCACATGATAACTGCTTCCGTTTCGATATTTTTTCCGGGAGTAGCTCACTGCAAATGTCTCATGTATGCATTGACATCTTCAACTTGCTTTTCGACATCAAAGGGACAGAAAATGATAACCTGCGAGTGGTTCCTATCTATTCGTTATATTTACATGTTGTTGCAAGGCGTGAAAAAGATCGCTATTCCTGTCTTATCGTACCAGCTAGCGCTTGAGGTTGCTAGGCAGTGTGTGCTCGCCTTCGCCAGAATTATAGCTGCAAGTCTCTCCACAGCAGGCGATGACTGAGTTTGACAAACTAAAGATGCCTGGAATGCACAACATCATTGATTTCGAACTTTCACGTATGATGTTCTAACTAGCAATCCACGAAAAACGTGTCGTGTAGATTCGGCCGGCAGCACCTTACCGTAGGCCCGGCAAAGTCGTGTTGACACGAGTCGAGGCTCGAGGCGACGAACGCGTCTGGGCGACATGGCAGGACGTTAAAATGACCGGCTTATGCCGTCCGCAGCCACAGCCTGCCGTCGACCTGCGCCCAGTCGCGTTTCCGTGCGTGAAGCTCGAATCAGATTTCAGCGTCGATGGGTGCCGCGCAGTCAAGTAGCATAGCATTGGACCTCAATCGCACCACACATGTACTTATGGTACGTAGGCCGACATGGCTGACTTCAGTTTGAAAGAACGTTCAAGTTGGGAGGGCCGATAGGTGAAAAATTGAAAGTCATGCTTTTCAATAGGACAGGGAAATTTAATTCCCAAAGGCTTCACGATTAGCGTTTTGTTCCATTTACGATATCACAGTCTCAAAATTGCGTGTGTCGAGGTGGCATCTTCCTTCTCGTTGACATGAAGTGAACCCTCCCGAACACACATTTTTCGTCTACGAAACGAAGCAAGACACCATGTTTTATTTGGCCCACTTGTTTCAACATTTACTTAAGTTGTAATTGACAAATTTGATTTGAGATATTTCCTCGATTTAGATGAAATTGTGAGCGAAACGGACGAGCTTCCTGTTCGTCGACGGACAAGACAATTTATCCTACGAGTACACGACACAGGCAATCATGTCGAATTTCTTGGAGGATCTGATCTATCTCCAATGCTACATCCGGTATCCATAAAGCGTGAATATCGAGACCGGGTACGGCGGACGCGGTGACTTGGTGCAACCGCCTGTCTTCTGGTGTAAACAAATAGCAATACCAATGACATAAGGCCAATCAATCCTAAAAAGATCAGGGCTATGTTTTGGCTTCTCCCGAGTGAACCCCGCTGGTCTGTTACATAAGCTTCCCTGCTGTAGGTGGTCACCTCGACGTTGTCATAACGCCTTCGCCGAACATGGGACCGCGCCCGAGAGGATTTCTGGCCTCGATGAGGCTCAAGCGACTCCTCATTTGAATTCCGGGTCGGACCCTTCTTGCTTTGCATTGAGTCCCCCGTCCTTCCCATTTCATCGTCCTCTATTGTGTCTGCGGGAAGGATGAGCCGCCTCTGCGCTTCCTGTGTGTGCTCAAACACAACGTTCCCCTGGGCGTCAATGGCGCGAGTACACAGCTTCGATTTCGTGATATGATGCGACATGAAACCCAGGCGCACAGCCGCCTCTTTGACATGGGCCGCTTGCGTCACATGGCCCACACTTCCTAGCTTGGCCCCGTTGCCATTCACAAAAAACTGCGTCGGGGTCACTGGGTGGTGCTGCAAGTGCTGGAGGCTGTGGTCGTGGCCAGACATGTACATGTCCACGCGATGCTTACCGAGCAGGGGCAGGAGATGCCTCACCAGCCCTGGCGTGTCGCCATGCTCTCCGGTCGAGAAAACAGGGTGGTGTCCGAAGACAAGGAGCCAGTCTGCCCGACTCCTTGCCAGGGCGCTTTCGAGCCAGGCGTATTGCTGGGCGCGGCGCCTGGTCGTTTCACGAGGCATGTGGAGGGCGCCGTCTGTCTCGGCTTCCTCGGGAACCAGGAGCGGGGTGTCCAGAAATATGAAGTCAATGGTGGTGCCGTCGCCGAGAACTTCATGCAGAAGGTAGTAGGCGGCGGGGAAGATCCATCGACCATCGACGCCGTGCGTGTCGTAGTACTCGAGCTGGGCATCCGGGTTGCTAGAGTGGTAGTCGTGATTGCCGCGGATGGGGTAAAAAGGAACAGGAAATGCCTCGGGGGTAAAAAGATCCCTGAATGTTGTGTTCCAGAGCGGGTCTTCAACACTGGACACGCCATCCGGATAAAATTGGTCTGTTTGGTGTCGGTGACAAGATGAAAATTATGAGCGCACAAAAATGTTGGAATGAGCTATCAATATTCTCCATGGCGCATCAACGCGATAAACGCGTTACTTATAGAAAACTTATGTTAAGACAGACAAAACTCACCACGTACTAAAAAGCGGGGGCCTACTTACCACCACCCAGTAACACGAACGAGGCGTTTATTGCTTCTTTCTCAAGAGCCATTCGCCTCGCCACGGCTTCTGTCTCCATATTACGGAGGCCATGATCTCCGATCTGTGTTATGGGAATATGAAGCAGTGCGTTAAAAAAATTACCGGTGAACTGGAGACCGTAGAAGTTGACTTCTTCCTCTATAGAGCTGGATGTCCCAGCGAGGTGCAGCAGCTTAGCTTAGAGGAGGGATGGGCATTCCATCTTACCGAAAGGAAGTTAAGGCTTGTTGACTCCGTATGTCCTCGGGCCAAGAAGAGCTCACAAATGAGAAGGTGAAGTAGTGAGAAAGTATCGAGATATTGTCGCATTCCCCCCCAATGCGGCTACTCCCGCGTGAGCAATCAAGGGCAAGCAAGGCGCTGAAAGATAAAACCTGCTGGTAATTGAAAAGGTCGCGAGAATGATTTTTTTAGTTTTATGCTACTAAAAAATGGCCTGATTCCTGTTCATTTGAAATACGCAATGATTTTTAAAGAGGTGCAACGAAATAGTCGTCGCTCACAGGAAGTTTGCCTTCGAGTGGTGCTAGGAAGCAGAGTACGTAGGTGAGATTCAAAATAGATGCAGGTACCTCTTCCATCACATCATCCCTCCTTCACTCGTACGCTCTCTTCTCTTCACCTTGTGCTTCTACAGTCTCACGCCTCCAGTGCGACTATCACAGGCCAAAGAATGTGGAAGCGCGCTTCAACGATGAATAAGGCCATCGTGGTGACCAGGTGCGGCAAACTCCATATTTTCCCAGTGTTTTTCCTGACTACCAGGCGTAGTGTCTCGCGCAGCATCAAGGCTTTTTCCTCCTCATCTACTTCTGCCGGTGAGCAGCTTAGATGGGGCGCCATAAAATCCAAAGGTGGCACAAATAACGCCGGCTCTGGTCCCTTTGGCTCAAGTGCTGGTGGCGACTCACGCTTTGTGCGACGAAAACCAGGTCAGGTCGCGCCGGAGACGATACAAGTTGACTTCGGTGAAGCAACAGGTGCCCTTTTTGATCGCATTGAAAAGGGCGTGGCAGGCATGCAAGAGCTCAACGACTTCTTTGTGGTAAATCGACAAAATAAAGTCGAACTGGTGATTGACTTGGGTCCGGGCAAGGGTGCTTTCACCTTGCAAAGAGACTGGGCTCACAATCAGCTGGTCTATCTCTCGCCAGTGTCCGGATGCAACAAGTACGAGTACGAGCAAGCCGGAAGGAGGTGGCTGAGCATTGCCGAGGATAAACACGATCTGACAGGCATTTTGACGCGGGACTTGATCCGGATGTGTGTAGGCTGTCCAGAACTATAACGATCTTAAAACAAGAGGAAGCGAAAGCGTTTTTAGTCGACATTCGTGCGTTGTGTGCTTTTAAACTCTGTCATAATTGGTTGCATATCTTTGTTCATCTTAGTCTTTTCCGAAGTGCGAAGCTTCCGCCCCGCTCTGTATCACACCCACGCCTGGCCCCGTGCCCGCGTCTACCTCCGCCCTCGAGTATACACATCTTTTATGAATGAGACGCCTTGACGATCTAGGCCATAGCGATCCCAATCTCCTCGCCGCGATTCTCCCCCACGTGACGACGCGACGGGACGGCCGATGACGAGGGGTTGCTGCTGGAGGGCCCCTCCCTCCCTCCTTCCCCTGTGGCGGAGTGCAGGTGCACAGTAGTGAAGTCCTGATGGCCCGCCTCCAGGTCCGGGCAGCCTGCTTGCTGCTGCTGTTGCTGCTGGGTTGATGAAAGGTAGGACTGCTGCTGCTGTTGGAGGATGCCTATCTGCCGCTGGAGCTCCTGCTGGTTCTTCATGAGGAGGTGGGGGACCTGGGGGGGAGGAAGGAAGGAGGAGTATCAAGCCGCACAACCAGACCTGCAGCATCAGGCGCATCCAATGCACGATTCTTTTATCTTTATATGCGTTTCCGTGGTCGTTGATGCAACCAACCCATTCTCCCGCGTGATAACATTCCGCACTACCTACCATCAGGACAGATATCACAAGCTCAGTGAAGACCCGCGCGGCCATCGTGAGGAGCACGAAAAAGATGGGCGACAGCACCATGTAGAGAATTGCCAGGCCTGCTGAGCCCATGGTCATTGCCTGCACAATCGACAAGAACATTATCACTCCAACCATACTGTAAAAGAGTACGAAGAACCATTCAATAATGGACACGCCCTGCCACTGGCCGAAACCAAAGATCCCCTTGATCGTCGCCACACGCTCTTTAGGGAGAGGCATATAATCGAATGGTGCAGCTTCCTCCACCGTTTCCGCCACCGGGGAGGTCGCAGCGGCAGCAGAGTTGCTTCCTCCTGCAGGAGTAGAGGTCTCCTCGTTCTCGTAGTGCTCTCTGTAGCGACGAGGGTTCGTGATGCGAGAGAAGAGAGATCCCATAGCGTCCGTGGCTGGTATGACAAGGAACAACAAGAGAAAGAGGATGAGCTGCTTGCGATTGCTCCTGCAAGTTTTCAAATTATCCCTATCTTCCAATCCCACATCTTCATCAAGGCTACGACATGGGCATTGAAAGGCTTATTACGCGAAGTGTTCGTCGCATTTTTAATATGCATGTCCATCATGAAAGTGGGTAAACGCTGCAAGACACGCGCATCATATAGATCCGCCAGGGCAAGAGCGTGGTGCACGAACAATAATAAAGGCCGGGTCTCACGCTTTTACGTTGAGGAGCGACGTCTTGTATGTTTACGAGCAACCTCCCACTCGAACAGCTCCTTTAGTCCGGCCTTCTTGATCCGAGCCAGACGCTGCCTGCTGTCTCTCTCTTCCGACAAGATGGTATAATGTCCACCAACCTCTCTCTAAATTCGAGAGCTGCGGCATCCTTGCGAGCGCTTTGTCGCCAGTCCGAAGATAAAAGGTAGAAATCCGAGACCTGAGCCGACGCTTTCGTGCGACCTCTGAGGGGAGCCGAGAGCCTTCGCCAAGTTTTTCCTTCCGTCGAGATGGAGCGCTTTCAGGGCCGCCATAGTGACGCGAAGGCAATCACTTTGCACTCATGCGAGCTGCATGTCCCTGTTGTCAATATGATCGTCTTGACGTACGGTTTATTTGTGTGTCCGACGTGTCTGACGCGTGCACCTTTTTTGAGAGGAAGCCGAGGAAGCAGTCAAAATTGTCGGTCTTCCTGTGTCCTTTTCCGTAGTACCTTTTCCTCAAACTTTTGTCTCAATTTACATGGTATAGGTGAAGCAATATGGAAACCGAGGTTTTTCAGGAAGTGGCCTCCCAGCAAATATTACAGCTTGCTCAAGAGGAAGAAGCGAAATTAGACAGGGAGATCCAGAAGCTCGAGACTCTCGACGAGGATGACTTCGACAAACTTCGGCAGCGTCGTTTGGAGAAGCTAAAAAAAGCGGAGCAGCAGAAGCACATCTACAAACAACTGGGTCACGGGGAGTATGCTGAGCTGGCAAGTCAGCAAGAGTTTTTCGATGCAGCGAAGCACAGTCCCCGCGTAGTCTGTCATTTCTACCGACCCACGGCCAAGTACTGCCAAGTGGTAGACTTTCACATGGCACGACTTGCGGCCCGACACATCGAAACGCGATTCTGCAAAATAAATGCCGAGAAGAGCCCATATCTGGTCGAGAAGCTGAATGTGTACATGATGCCCACGATTGTGTGCATCAAGGACCAAAAAACGACGCACCACATCAAGGGATTGGACGAGCTGGGGGGCACGGACGAGTTCTCCTCAGATATGTTCGCCTACGTACTCAGCTCCCACAACGTCTTGAACTATGATGGTGGCCGGCCTGACAGCCCCACCCAGGCAGCGAAGAAGAAAGGAGTAAATTCCATCCGCATGGCCATGACAGGCCCCGGGGGCCTCGCGCCTGGTCGACGGGGAGGAACTAGCTCCATCCGGGATGGTCTGACCGAGACGCAGTACGATAGTGACGGGAGTGCAGAGGACGACGTTTTTTAAGTAGCGTTTTTCTCTTGTATGTGCATGTACGAGGATGTTCTGGGAAGCGTCCAGGTTTAGAGGGAGGGGAAGATGGCGATGTGGCGCGGCGCATAGGAAATTGCAGTCTGTAAGAAACATCAAATTAACCAAGGGAAAAAAAGCACTTGCACTTTTAAGATGCGAAGGGTTTCTTCTTCACCATATATTTTATGTGCGTCGTAGGCTCTAGGAATAGTAAAGTTCTAGAGACATGCCCTATATGGGATGTAGCGGGAAAGGAGAAACGGAAGACAATGAGTGCTCTGTCGATCAGAAAATTCCAAGTCCGTCAGCTTCTAAGTGTTCAACCACACTTTTCACAGATAATCCTTTTCATAGCCTCGTTTTAGGGGCTCAAATTTCTGGGAAACACGGAAAGAGAAATCGAGAGAGAGAACGTGCCTCGCTTATTTCATAATCTGCCAACGTGATGTGGTCTTTGTACACCGTGTACCATTTTTGGATACGGATCTTTTCCGGTCGTGTTCCTAGAAGTGGACGAATGTGAGAGATTGCACGCAGAAACAAGAGTAAGTGTGAGTGCTTTTGCTTGTAAGCGAGCGGACAAATGGGTACAAGTACGCAAAATCTTCACTTGCTGCGTGCCGTCACCAACAACAAGCCCGTACAGAACAAAATCTCAACCGTACTCTTGAATGGCGTCGAGAACGATACACGACAAGATTAACGACGGAGCCTTTTGCACTTCTTTCCCTGCAATTCTTCCGGCACAGCAGGCGACTTTTCTTGCCCCTCTACGCATCCGAGCAGCTCGTACCTGTTTGCGCTGCAACAAGCTTTTTAAGATCTCCAATTGTATCGTCCTCATTACATTTGACCCTGATTTTTTTGCCCAGACGATCATTCAGAATGACCTCGATCATCGTAACCACCTGTGTGGTTGGAGTGGGGAGGTCATATTGAGGATCGATGGCAAATTCGAGCACGCGCACAGAGGGTGACAAGCATCCAATGCGTGCTTCGGCTTCCAAAGAAATGGTATAGAAGAATCCCTACTTATAGGCGCCGCTTCAGATGAGATGAGATGGCAAAGAGACGACGGTCATCATATTGTTCCATCCACTGCGGTGATGGCGTCATTTCCCTTATGCGCGGTGAAATCACCGTCTTATGGAAACCATTCTATCAAGGCATCAAGCACACGTAGACAACCGAAAATGTTCTCTGATGAGGCACAATCCCTTTTGTCTCCTATCCAGGACGCGGCCAAGGAGTGCTCTTCTTGCACGATTCAGCTTTTGGTGCCCTCGAAGGCGTACACCCTGGGCAGCAGCGCGCAGATCTGTATGACTTGTAGCTAAAGATAAGTTGTTATCTGCCGCACCTCACAGGAACAATACCATGGCCGGCGACTGGGGGATGACCGTTCTCAAGCTAAGTTTGCTAAGTGTCGCTTTGACGCTTTTAGCCAGCATGGGATCGCAGCCTTCATACAACTTTCCTATTGCCTTATTAGGCGTATGGGTGCCTCACATCCCGAAACCGTTTTTGACTTCCCTTTTATTCGTTCTCCTCCCTGTCGCTATGCTTCTTGACATACTTTGGGCGAGCCTTTACGGCCCATATCTTAACAGTGGGGCACCTCTCCTCGCTTTGATATTGACCGTCTTGAATCTGTTTCTGAAAGTTCCCTGGTCATACGCGGCCTGGGAGCTGATGAACGAGACTGGAGGGAATCCAATGGTTCTTATCAATCCAGAACTCGCGATTGGAGGCGCAGGTTTGGGGGATGGCTCGCATGAACGAATCAATGACATCTAAGTGTAAAGTACGCCGCAGAATGGTGGTCAGATGAAGCTATCACAGCAAACCTCTTGGTCTCAGAGCGTATGCAGTCGACCGTTGACAAAGGATTTTCGATTTCATTTCAAGCTAATTCTTTGATGGGTCATCGGGAATCTCGCCGTCAAAATCCGTCAGTCGCTATCTTTCTTATGCTTCTTCTGCTTCTTGTCCTTCTTTTTTGGTGAAACCACCGGAGACGTGCCTTTTTTAAACTCCACCGCGGAAATTACGTCGTGCTCAACCGACGGCGACTTCGTCTGTGCATGGACTGCGGTTGTGTCTTTCTTCTTCTTCTTTTTCTCCTTGTCCCTAGAACGCTCTTGAGCGGGGTCGATCGATAACAGAGCCGGGGGCTCCCCTCTTTCCTCCTCCAAAAGTTTCCGCTTTTTTTCCGCGTGACTGCCGTTCAGCTCCGCCGCCCCTTTGTTTTTTCTTGATTCGACACTGGCCTGGTCTTTCTTCGGTGCCTTCGACGGACCGTGAGTCATACCCTTCCCTGATACGGCCGAAACCCCGGCCACCTCCTGCTGCCCACCAATCTCTTTCATACTGGCTCCAATCTTGCGAACTATCTTGTTGAATAGGGCAAGTATCTGATCCCCCTCTATCCCGAGCTCTCGCGCGAGCTGGTCCACCGTCCGATGCCTAAGCCCCAGCCCCACCAAAATAGCCTCCATGAGCCGGGACAGGTGCACGCTCGCTGGCAACATCCGCAAGAAGTAGACCCGCGCCAGCGTCGGGAGTAGGTCTGTGATCAAGTGGTAGTCGGCCAAGTTGCGAGCGTACAGGTGGAGGCGCTCCAGGTCGCGAGGAATCAGGAGATATCCCAGTTGCTTGGCTGTGATGGGCGGTCCAGGCGGCGCAAGACCTTCGCGCACGTTGTTCAAAATGGCCAAGTCCAAGGCCGTGCCCAATTGCTCCCGGAACTCGAACGAAAGGAGGCTCACGAGACGCCGCAGTGTATCCTCCGCGAAAGCCGCCAGCCAGTCCCCGGCGACGGCTTCCCCTTCCAGGCCCTCGGTGCTGAGAGCGCGCAGCATGATGGCCGTGTGCTCGCCCGTCAGGTCGTTGGCTGTCTGCCGGAGGTAGACAAGCCGCATCCCCGCTCGCGCCCAAAAGTTAAGGAGACTTTCCGTGAGACCGAAGGAGGAGCCCACCCAGTGCAGGCGCTCTCTCCCTTTAAGCTTGTCCAACGGCACCAAAAGAGGAGGAAGCTCCTGGCGGGGACGCAAGCGCTCGTCACGGAGCTGGCTTTTCTTCGACTTCACCTCCCCTTCTTCGGCTTCGTCCTCCCCTTCACTCCCCTCCCTCGGCGCCCCGTCGCTTACTTCCACTGCCACAGCCGGGCGGGGCTCACTTTCCCGGCGTAGTGCTCCAGGAGCAAGGTCAAGGCCCGGGTCCCGTAGCCGAGGCGCTGGGCATCGGGGTGGGTGGCTATCCGAACAACGCGGGCGCCAGAGAGTTTGGCAAAGTCTGCATCCTGGAACTGCTGAGACATGGTCCACGGGATCAGATCCCCCGAGGCCCGGTGCCCACGCGCCAAGGAGGCTTGCACTGAGGCCTGGGAGATGCGGCCTTCCAGGGCCACCTGGATGACGCAGAGCACGTCGGGCAGAGCATCTGGGGAGGACGACGAGCCCGGGGGCCCTAACAGGACGAAGAGACGGTGGGCAGGAGCGTCGCTCAAGAGCTGGAGGTCGTTCGGCTGGTTCTTGTAGTGTGCGGCCGTGTAGAGGGCCATGACGCGCTGTAGGAAAGCTTCCGAGACCTTGTGGTACGAGAAGAGCGCGTCGCGGTCGACTTGGTAGAGCTGGCAGGCGCTGGCGGGGGGCAAGGAGGAGACGATACGGTGCTTTGAGATCTGAGCGTCCAGGCACAGGACCGCGTAGAGCCAGCGCTCGATCGGGTCACCGGCAGCGTACCGGATTGGCGTTTCCAGCGTCACCTCTTTGAGCTTGCGCATGCCAGCCATGGCACGTCCTTGCTGTTCCCGCAGCTGCGCCACGAGTTTAAGGGAGAGAGAGCGGCCGGTGCCCTCGTAGCCCGTCACGGTCGAGGAGAGGAACACCAGGTAGGGCCCGAGCAGCCTCTTGACCAGGGGCAAAGGAATGGCGGCCGCCTCGTCCACCGCCACCAGCTCGGCCTGAGAGAGTTTCTCGTGCTCGTGCGGGGCGATGTACTGGATGACCTGTCGGTGCTGCCGGAAGACGGAGATCCGCACCGTCGCCCTCGCATCCAGGCCCCCCTGCGGCCCCTGCCTGTGGTGTCCTGCCTGCACCACCTCGAAGTCCAGGTGCTCCTGGTACTTGAGCGCCACCAGGCCCCGCTTCACGAAGTCGAAGACCGTCTCCAAGTTCTCCGGCGACGGCGCCGTCACGAAAATGTTGCTGTACCCGAAAGCGACGGCCCCAGCCAAGCAGAGCCCGACGGCCGCAGACTTGCCCCGCCCACGCGATGCCGTGAGGCTGACCGTTGTCCTTAGCGCCTTGTCTTGCACTGCTTCCAGGAAAGAGATCACGGCCTTCGCTTGGTCCACCGTCCGAGCCAGGCTCACTAAGGCTCCTAGCGGCTGCATCTCTGCCACCGACTCCTTCAGGTCACTCAGCGCCGCCTCCGCAGCTCCGATGGCGCCTTGATCCACGCCCGGCCCGGCGACCAGAGCGCGACTCTTCGTTGAGATAGGCAAAACATTTAACTCGTCGTCCAGCACCAAACAAGTCCGACAGTCTGCCAAGGAGAGGATAAAGCGCTCATTGAAACGGGCCAGAACGTCGCCGTGTGCCTCGGTGCGGAAGCGCGCATGCACGTCCATGGCCATCGTGTAGAGCTGGCGGAGGGAGGTGACTGATTGCAGCAGCAGGACAACCAGTCCTCCCCCCTCGACAGTCTCAACAGTGCGTGCGAGTAGGTTGGGAGTCAAGGCCTCGAAGTCTTGCAACACGCACATGCCAAAGGTTTGGCCTAGAATCCGGTGCGTCTCCTTGTAGTAGCACCAGCGGATGTTAGTCGACGAAATGAACAGATCAAAAGGGTCGTCCTTGTCCGGGTCGTGCAAGCCTCGCTGCACATTCCTTTTAATTTGTCGCATGCGCTTTTTTCGGTGAGTGGAAAAACCTAACTCTTTCTTGTAGCACCACAGTACTGAAGGCCGGGCTTTGACCTGGGTACGGCTCAAGATATAATGCAGATTTACCACCTGATCCTTCCCGTGATCCCCTACGAGCACCAAGAGTGAGCGATGGCGAGATTGAACACCATTTTCGATCAAAGTTCGCACTCGGTCGTCCACCTTTTTCCGCACCATCCTATCGCTTGAGACCCGTTTTCCTGTTGTTCAGGGGGTGTAAGTTCTTGAGGCGTTGATTTGATGGAGAGACGGAATCAAAGTATGTCAATCGTAGGGAAAGAGGTATGGTGATTGTCATGGCGATGCAGATATTTCAAACTGTGCACTTGGTGATATTTTTCCCCATATGTCAGGACAGCTAGGGCGTGGGGCTGGGGGGGGTTGAATGGCAGGGCAGCGTGCTGCGGCTATAACCTCCCGGCAGTCGGGGGATTTCTAGTAAGGTGGATAAAGTCCAGATTGTAATTTTATCGCACAATTTAAAGCGACTGTCGACATCAATCAAGTCCAGACTATCTTCGATCTGCTATTGCATATTGACATTTGAAATTTGTTGTCATGCAGTTGATTGAATTCCAGTCCCTACCTCCCTGCTCAATTTTCCCTTACACAGCAAGTTATCATATTATGGAGGGCGGTCTGGCCATCCTCTGTGAGCTATAAGACTCGCGATAAAATTTCAAACGCTGAGAGGCTTGAGCTCTTCCATTTAAATTAGAGCCGGAATGGGTGAATGGGTAATTGCGAGGGCTTCTCGAAATCGCTGTATATCGAAAAGTCGCGGTGACTTCTCCATTTAGGAGCATGGCGTCATTGCGCCTAGTGTTCGACTCAAAGCGGGATGCAAATAATGAAAATGGCTTCTGATTTAAAGTTGAATCCATTTTTTATTTTAAAGCGCGGCTGGATAGGGGCTTGGCAGCGAGCCAGAGCGGAAGCACCGTGCCGTGATGGATCTATTGGTCAAATCCATCACGAATGTAATGAAGCTGCTCCTCACAGGCACCATGCAACGCTGGAGATGGTAGCAGCAGTAAACTGAGATCCTGGACGCGGATGCCGACCTGCTCGCGTCCCGGGGGGAGTGGGATTAAAGCCTGCTCAACTCCTGCCAGGAGCTCTGGGAGCTTGCTTCGCGCCAAGGGCGAGACCGTGCTTCCTGCCTCCCAGGAAGTGCTTTTCCCCCTTGTCGCCCATGTCCTCAGTCCAGGCAACTCGTTAGAGCTGCTGTCTGGTGGGTGTCTGCATCTTCATCGTCGTCCTCGAATTCGGCGTTTGTTTGGGATCAGGGATCACAGGTACGGTATCCGCGATCGTGCCCGACTTCCTGGGGAGCGAGCCCGGCAAACAAGGGTATACGAGGTGGGTATATAGGCCCAGCTCGGGGAGGATTTTCTCCCGTCAGCTTTTCTTGCTCAGATCCTGCCAGAACTCCTGGGCCCTATTTTGCGGCGGCAGCAGCCAGCACGCAGGAGGGCACCGGCGATTCCAAGGCAGAGGCGGACCGTTGTGTGCGGGATGACACCGTTTCCTCCGTTCTCCTTCTTTGCCGGCATCACGCTAGCCTCTTCCACGCCCAACAAGTCTTGGTCGGATTGAGTCTTGTTCAATCAAGACAAGACAGTAAAGGCATAAAAGAAATTAAAAGAGAACTAATCTTTCCTGCCTCGATTCGATTATGAAGGCGACAATAACATGTCTTGGATTTCCTTTGGTCCTGCACAAAAGAATTATATTACAATTTCCTCTTCCTCACTTCCAGTAAGAGGCTCTTCTAATGTCTGGACTGGCCCGGGAGATCGCAAACCCTCCCACTCCCTACTGGCTTCACCCAGCGCCTCGTCAAGCTCGTGCAATTCCGCGTCCACGCCCCCCCCCCTTCTCATTGGCGCCGGCCCCTCCCCCGCCACGGCGGCGCCAGTACGGCTATTTCCGCCGGTACCTGAGGAAGAGGATGTGCTGTCGAGGCTGGGGAGCCTGTCCCGGGCGTCCGCGGCCGGTTTGCGCAAATTTAGGTCCAGCATGTGCTTGAGCCGCTCCGAGAGAGGGGCGAGGCGTCGTTCCTCCCTGCTGAGCCCGTCGTCCTCTCCCGACGCCATGTCCGCGACGGCCGACCCGGCCAAAACCTCGCCTTTCCGCGCCGGCGGCGACGAGAGCGTTCCTGAGCCCTCAGGGTCCGGGCTCTCGTCCGAATCCGGTGGCTCCGCGCCGGTCGGGGAGGCGGTGCGAGCGAGCAAGTCCTGAACCTCGGGACGGCTGAGGAAGGACTGCAGCCGGCCTACCGCCTCGCCTGTCCTCGCTATGCTTTCCTCCGAGGAGAAGGACCCAAATCGCTCTGTCGCTTGCTTGTATAGATCGCACACGCTCCGCACCTGCGCCAGAGTCCAGTGCCCTCCCTCCTCCGCGGCCTCTTCCCGGNGCTGCGCCTCCTGTAGATAGGCCTGTGCGCGCGCCACGTGGTTAAGGGCGGCCTGGCTGGTCCGGAATCCCACCACGCCCCGCGCCCTCAGTGCCTCCTGAATCGCCTCGACGCACTCCTGGGCCCGGGACATGGCCAGGAGCCACCGGTCGCCGTCTCGGAACTCCACCGAAATCGAGCAACCCTGCTTGTACCTCAGCTTGCCGATGTGCGCCTGGGGGCGGGCTTTCACCACCACCACAGAGCCCAGCTTGGCCTCGTGCGCCTTGACGTTCAGGACCCAGGCCTCCGTCACTACCAAGTACCGGGGCAGCATGTCCCCTCCCTGCTGGGGCACCGAGCCAGGAAAGAGCCGGTCTCCGAGGTGCCTGACGTCCAGAACATGGTTGGGCTCATATCCTCTCGTCTCAGGATCCTCGTCGTGGGCACCTTCGAAGCCCTGCACTGCTTCAGCCGCCGCCAAGACTAAGTCCGCCAGCCCGACCTTGGGCGTCCACGCCCTCAACGCAGCCAGAAGCAGGGTCCGGCCGTCCTCTCCCACGTATGCCGCCGGTAAAAGGTCAATCCCTTGTATGACATTGATGATGGGAGGGACGAAGGGATAGGCCGTGGCCCCCGAGACCCCTGTGCCCTCGCCTGTTGCCGGCCGGGAGGAGGCGTCCACCTCGAGGAGGACGCCTCCCGTCTCTCCCAAGTCCAAGGGCTCGTCCTCGTCCGGTCCACGGTCGTCTGCTTGCTCGTCCCGACGATTGAGCATAACGGTGCACTTGCAGACCCCGTTGTCATTGTCGAGCGTCTTGGACAGGACCGTGACCCGACATGTCCGTGTGCTTGTTCCGCGCCTGAGCTTCTCCTCGAGTGAGGCCAGCTCTCTGGGCATGCGGGAGGACCAAATCGAGGTTGGCGACACTGGCGCTGGATCTGAGCTGTCCGTCATGGAATCTCTGGTGTATTTGCGTGTGAAAATTGCGACGGTAAAGAGTGGCGTCCCTCTAAGCAGGAAGGGAAATGTGTTGCAGCCAGCGGGCCGCTCGCCCACCCTGACCTCCCCTGCCCGTCATCTCAGGGGGTGGAGCTTGCTGCCCAGCTTCCCTGTCTGCTTGGCCTAAGCTGCACCTATGTCACGCTTCATGCGAAAATATTCACAGGGAATAGTCGTCCAACAATCATGGGACGGAATACGCGAGCAGCCGCAGCGGCGAAGATTGAAATGGAAGAGGGAGAGGGAAAGGAGGGGGAGGAACTGAAAGAGGAAGAGGAACATGAACATGATGATGAAGAAGAGGATTTGGACGAGGAGGAGGAGGATGAGGAGGATGAGGAGGACGAGGAGGACAAGGAGGAGGAAGAGGACGAGGAGGAGGACAATGAGGTGCTTTTGCAGGACAGCCTGGCCTTTGGGCGTGAGAAACGCGTCACAATGGGGAAGCGGATGGGGAATCTGGTTGGTGAGGAGCTGGACAAGGACGAGACCTTTTGGGAAGACAGCAAATGGAAGGTTGACGACGCCGAGTCTGAGTACTCGAATGCGTCGGAGTCGGGCGACGAGGTTGACTCGGACTTCTCTGTGAGCGGGGACGAGAACGAGGGGGGGGACGACAGGGAGCAGGGGGAGGAGGCCGAGAGGGCCGTGGCGGCAAGGGAGAAACGCCAACAGCAGCAGGAGGCCAACGCTAGGTCAAAGTACCGTGAGCCGAAGCGGAAACTTCGTCCTGTGAAGGACTCTACCCCCGGACTCGCGCCACGTCCGGAGATGAGCGCGGAGGAGGTGGCGAGAATGAAGGAGCGGCGGACGGCCGCGCGACTGCGCCGGGAAGCAGCTTTGATGGCGCCAGTGGATAGAGCCAAGCGAGCCACCACCCAGGAGAAGACGGTGGCCACACAGGAGGCACTGGCGCGGAAAGGGCAAGAGGAGGCGAAGAGGACGACGGCGCGGGCGCCCCGGGCCACCAAGTGCATCTTCTCACAGGAAGAGCTCTTACGGGAGGCCTGCCAGACCGAGCAGGAGAATGCGCGGTGGCTGCTGGGTCGAAGGCGCCTTCAGAACGAAACGGATGCAACCTCCCATGCGCCGAAACGACAGGTGAAGCTGAAGGCCCGCTTCGTTTCCCGGAGGGGGGGCTATCGGGTCGTGAACTTCCCAGAAGTGGACCTCATGCCTGGGATTCTGAGGGGCGAGGGGGCAGGGAGCCGGGTCGGGGGCGAGGCGGGTCGGGAGAGGGTGCGGGGCGCCGCCCAGGCCGAGAAGGGGGGGGGGGGAGACGGTGCGTCGTCACGGGTGTTCCTGCCCGGTACCTGGACCCCCTCACTCGTCAGCCGTACGCGAACCGGCAGGCGTTTAAGATCCTGCGGGGAGACCCGAGGTACTTGCCGGAGGGGGGCGGAGAGGAGGAGAAGGGCGGAGTCTCGGAGGGGGGCAGGGAGGGCGACAGCGGGAGTGTGGGTGTTTCAGGGGGGGAAGGGGAGGGAAAGCTGCTTGGCTTGGAACGGGGGTGGTCGCGATCGTCCTCCATCACCGATGGGTCGTTCAGGTAGACGACGATCCATGTACAAAAGACAAGAAGTAAACAGTGTGCAGAGCCAACTTTGCCGAGCAGTCTTCTTTCACGCTTGTCGGACGCTACCTTCCTACCCTGCTCTTACTCGTGTACTAACATTCCTGATCTACTCGCAGGGTATAAATGACCATTTTCACTCCTCATTCTCCTTGGCCGCCAGAATGGGGGCAGGAGAGTCGCGTGCTCGGACCTGGATATGGGCCACACGGAGCTTCTGACTCCTCTAGGGGGACGAGCAGTCGCGCATGCGTACATTGCTTGGTGAGGAACTGCACGTCTGTATCGATCGATAAGAAAGCACACAAAACGTTTTGGCCTACCCAATGCACTGGACATGGCGGAAGGGGCACAGCCTGGCATGAGCAAATCTATTGTTGGAGACGAAGAAGGCTGTGGTGGTTGAAGGGGCCACATCAGGCGCTCGGCCCTGGAACAATATCCCGTCGCCGGATGGAATTAAAAAGCCATCTTTCATTTTGTGCTCCTGTTGAGAGCTGGCACACTGAAAAAGGGTTTCTCAAATCATGTTTGGGTGCTCAGTTGCCGGGGACAAAGGTCATAAATTACCATAAGGCCTTCCCCAAGGACGCGAATCGTTGCGCTTGATGATGTCACTACGATATGGCCTCACATTTTCACGCTTCATGCGCGCACATTCCAGACAAATTTACGTGCGTGAAATGGTCAGGTCCTACTGGCTACGCGGCTAGTACTTTGCTCGGGAAAAGGACCCCGCATTCAGCATGGCAACAGGCACCCCGAGCAACAAGACTGCCCTACGCAAGGGTTTTGGTCTCATGGTGTGTAAAGTAGTAGCGCGGTAGGTACATGGTGCTGGCTTCGTACTGATGCGCGTATTTCCTTTGCGACAACTACAGGATTGGGTAAAGCTGACAACATCCACCCGGGACTTGTCCGGGGTGCTGCGCATGGGCGGCCTGAGGGGATACCGGATGGAAGAAGTCGCCCGGCACCGCACGTCAAACGATGCCTGGGCCGTGTTTGCGGGTAAAGTCTACAATCTGACTCCCTATCTGCCGTACCATCCCGGAGGGGCCAATATAATCGTAAAGGCGGCAGGCACGGACTGCACTGCACTCTTCAATAAGCATCATCCGTGGGTGAACCTGGAGGGATTGGCAGGGGTACGTGCGGAAGAGGGAATGGAGGGTCGGCCGATTGTTGAATGTATTGTGAACATCTCTTTTCTCCTGATGCACCTGTCTGGTCCCTGTAACATTTTCTTAACGTCTCGCTTCTGCCTCTCGCTTTCCTGCAGAAACTGGTCGTCGGGTACCTAATAGAGGAAGAAGGCGCGACTCCGAAGGACACAGGGTTAGCTCAGGAAGAGTCGCCACAGGCAGGGCTTGACGGTAGTGCTTCGTCCGGGCCGGCGGCGGAGAGGGCGGGAGAAGACGGTGACTCTTTGGTAACCGATGCTGCGGGGCAGTCGCCTGTGGACGCGTGTGTGGGACTACTAGCACCTCCGCCGAAACGCTTCAGCATTACGGCAGCATTCGGTACAGAGGAAGACTTCGCAGCAAGTATAGAGGAGAACGGGGCAGTAAGAGAGGGGTGACTCTGGCGATACGGCGGAGAAGAGGAGAATCCTGTGTAGACCTGAAAGTATTCACAACTGTACATCGAAATGGCCCTAGGATGCAAGAAAGGAGAGCAATGCCGGAAACTTGATGCTTTGTGAGGTGAAAGGCAAGGAAAATTCGCGGGCACATGCTTGTGAGAACTACGCATGCGCATGACAAGCGACCTGAAAGAGCGAAAGCTTTCGCGGCTGCCTGGTTATGGCGTTCGGGTCTCCGCCCGATCCTTTCGGTGTGCGTTTTGCACCAGACGCACGCATGCAAATAAAGAAAAGAGTAACCCAATGCGGTCTTGGGAAAAACTTCCGACACTCGGATAAGTGCCGGGCCCGTCCTAATTATTTGACGTAATTTTCCTCGCTTATCCCCCTTATCCCCTGTCGTTTCGTAAACCTTTGCTCAGCAGCACGCGCCGAAGGTACTGCCTATGGTATGCGGACTTGAGACGAGGACGCCGGAGCTTCCAAAGAGGCCGTAGTGGACGGAAGTGTCCCCCGTGACGGAGAAATGAGGCGCAAAGCGAGTGTGGGTAAGCTGTTGAACGGAAAGGGGGAAAGCCAAGAGCGAGGGTACCCCTCGTGTGAAGGAGCTTCATTCTCTTTCGCCCTGCCATCGACCCCACGCGGACAGGATCGACTTAAGCACGCGCATCCCGTCGATCCCAGCACTCACCATGGCCGCCGTGTTCCCGCACACGGCCCGCGCCCGCCCGGCCTCGAACTGATGGCCCTGGTCGAGCTCGAAAGAGACAGGGTCCAGGGTCCCGAGGTAGGTGGCGAACTGACCGAAGTCCTCGCATCGATCCTCCAGCTCCGGGAGCTTGAAGCAGCGCAGTGTCAGGCTGAAAAAGCGGGCCAGGCCCACCTTGGCGGCGATCGCCTCGTCCGTGATCTGGATTTCGGTCTGCTCCATGATTCGGTAATCCTTACAGCCAAGCTCGGCAAGCAGGCGCCGGACATCCTCTGAGGGGGTCAAAGGGATGGAGGGGGGGGGGATGTTATAAGGGAGGGGTTGGGTTTCATGAGAAGGCAGGGGAGGGGGAGTGCATGCAAGGAAGCTGAAAAGCTCCTACCGATGTATAAGGCTCCGCCCAAGCACTCCCCTAGCACCTCTTGATCCTCCCTCAGGGTGCCCGGCAGCCGCCGGTCGCAGAACACGTCCGAAAAATAGAGTTCACCCCCTGGTTTTAAAACGCGAAAAATTTCCCTCAAAACCTGCGCCTTGTCGGGGGACAGATTGAGCACGCAGTTGCTCACACACACGTCCACGGAGGCGTCCGCTATGCCCATGCTCGCCAAGTCCTCAATGACGCCATGGCGGAACGTCACGTTGGCTTTGTCGTACCCGTAGCGCTCCATGTGCCAATCCACATGAGCCCGCGCTACTGCCAGCTGCTCCTCAGTCATGTCGACACCAATAACTGTGCCATGCGCGCCAACAAGTCTCGAAGCTGTCGAGAGTGGAGGCAGAGGAGGTAGGTGTGAGGGTGCGAGATTGATGGGAGAAGGAGGAGGGATCGATCCGGCGCAATCAAATGCAGTTTTTTTCTATGTCAGTGAGCGAGAGCATGAAACGCGTGAGTGTGCCCCTCCGCCAGCCATACCGACGAAGGAGTCCCTCCCTGAGCCCGAACCGAGGTCCAGCACTGTGCATCCCTCCAGGCCCTCCGGCAAGGGGCTTCCACAACCGTAGAACTTCTCGAGTACATTCTCATGGATGTCTTTCAACAGCGCGCGGAGCTTCTTCGGAATACTGGCCGCACAGCATGCCGTCGTCTTTAAATCAGCATTTGTTTGTAGCTTGGACCCGTAGTATCTGAACAGTATGTGGCGTAATTTTTGATAAATTTTGCGAGCGGTGTATGACATCTCAATCGGAATAAATTCTTTGCAAATCCGGTACTAAGTAAGGACAGCAGGACATGTCTCTTCGTCAAGACGCAGTAGCACACAGTGTGAAAAAGAGAGTGGGAGGTTCTACAACTACTTACTCTCGCACGTTCTCTTTGACGTTAGACTCTCCGTTAGACATCGTTTCCAACCCCACAAAAACTCTGTACAATAGACACGTAAATGGTAGATCGTAAGTTGACATGTGTGAGGCATAAACGATGCAGTACTGCCAAAAAGGAGGAGCCGAAAGTTCACGAGCGGACGTGTTGCTGCCTTGTTGACCTGATTTGGCTGGACTTAAGGAGATATCCGAAAAAGGTGGCATTTTCCATTCTCTCACATCATGATTTCACCTGTGCACACGTTCAGGTGCAAGCACTAAATTTAGCGCTCGACGACGAGGTATTGTAGTTGCCTTCCTGGACACGGGGACTCAGTATCTCCGGGTATCGAAGCACTGGGAAGCTCACAGCACGTGCCTACCTGAGAGAAGCCCCACGATTCTCCTCAAAACAACTTCTGGTCATCGACAGTAGCACTCGCAAATATAAACTACCGAGTGTAAGTTCCCCTAAGATTGTCAGTGTCATTATTGGAGACAAACACGTCAAAATCGTAAAGGATATGTAAAACATGAAATAACAGAAAGATGTGCTTAATTTACTGTTGATACACCTCATACAATTTACAGCGGTATCCTTGTGTGGAGTTATTTAAAAATTAGAGACTCCACTGCCCGCGGATCAAATTCTACACGTTGCTTCAAAATCTGCTTTACCTCTGCAGGCGTCAATCGACCGACCACCTCTGCAGATTTTGGCTTGTCTTCTTTGCTGTTGTGTTCCCCAAGCCCGCACGCAGGCTGCTGTACTATGTCAGGCTTTAACATCATGAGGTAATGGACATCAGCAGGGCTGTCCAGGTTCAACAATGTCACCATCTGGTCCACCCGAGCGAACTGCGGGAGGAGTGTCCCATGACCGTCAACAAGCTCCATCAACTGCTCTTGCAATAGTCGAACCTGCTGCCGAAGCTTCATGCCTCCCCATTCGGTGAACTCTTTTTCCTCCAGCGCTTGAATCAAGGCGGGAGACAAGCTCATGGCCACGCGCTCCACAAACCCGAGCAGTGCCGACCCCGTCATGCCGGCCTTGCAGTCCCTCAGCACTTTGTCCTTGACAAACATGTAGTCCAGAAACTGCGTCACGAATGGATCCCCCCGGCCCGCAGCCTCTTTTTCGTATGTAGTGGCATCGATGGTGTAGTTGGTACGGCCTACGACTTGAGAGAGATAGTCTAAGATGCCTGTCGGAAGGAAGGGGAAGTCATCAGAGCCGGGAGAGGAGAGGCATTGCAACACCTTCGAAACAGAATTCGATTACAGAACGACGCCCGAGACCACAAATGAAGCGGCCCACCAGAATAGGCAAGACCGGGGAGAGGAATGACACCAGGCCTTGACAGAATGACGGTATACAATGTCCGACCACACATGGTCAGAAAACCCAGAGGACGCACCCGACGATACGTAGCGGGACGCAAAATCGTCGAGCAATACCTCCAGATACCCGCCATATTGCTTTAAGACGCGACCGAACTCCTGCGCCACGGCCTCCACCATGTGCGGTCCGCCCCTTGCCCTTTGTTGACTCTCTCCTTCACAGGAGCCTCGGACGCCGAGCTCTAGCAGCATATCCTGCATCTCTTGTGAAGTCAGATATTGGAATTGCACGTCTAGTCAGCCATTTGCTAGCCAAAAAGGGAAACGCCGAGTCAGTCCAGAGAGGGTGGTGTCATTCACTGGAAGGGGAAGACAAGCGTGCAGGGGGCGGGTTCACGGCGTGCGGGCGTCCCTCTGCCTGTGACGGCATACTCGACTCCAAAAGCCGACTACATCATCCCCGTAAAGGACACTCACGCAGGGCAACTACACAGATGGGAAGCTTCCACCTAACCACCTTACGACTGCGAAGAACTTACTTTTCATAGCTGCGACCGCGCAATCCATGCTATTTATGGCGTAAATCATGGCTTCGTGCGTCACGTTCCCTTCTTCCTCGTCTAACTGCTGCTGTAGAGCGCGGCTGAATTGATCCATGGCTCCTCCACCGGCCTCCACCCCCGTCAGGCTCCTATCTTCCACAAGGGCCTGTAGTGCTGCCGCGAAGGAGGGGACCGAGTCGGGGCTCAAGAGCTCCGTGGCCCGACTGGCGACAGCCAAGATCGCTTGGTCGCTCAGCGTTTGGGTGGCACGCTCGATGGAGCGGTTCAGGATCATGGGCACGTCCTCGACGAGCGTAGACACGAGCACGCCCTCCTGGACCTCGGTGGGCTGCCCCCAGGCTATCGCCTTGGCCACGTTGAAGGTGCAATAGGCGCTTTCCATCGATACGTAGCACCCCGCGAGCTCCTGAACTTGGATGAAGAGATCCATGCATTCCTCTCGAGGGGCGGCGACGAAAGCCAAGTAACGGTTTGAGAGCCCCAGGACCAGCTGCAGCTCGTCCAAGGCGAAGTCCAACTCCTGCACCACCAAGTCCTCCGTGCCCCGCGCAGACAGGCACCTCTCCTGCCATTCTCGCACACTGCAGTCCTCACTGTACCATTTCAGGAGCTTGAGCGCTTGCTGTTGTGCTATATTATTCAGAGAGGTCACCATTCTCGCCAGGCAAGGTCCAGAAAGCCACGAGGAGAAACGGGCAGCGTGCCTGCTCCCCGCCGTGCCTGTCTCCGCATCCTGGCTGCTCTCATCTTCACAGTAATACCCCTCTCCCCTCAAAGACCCGATCATTCGGGAGGCCTCCCCCAGCAGTCGACTCAGTCCGGTGACGTGAGGCTGACTGTCCTGTCCTACTCCCTCACTATCATCGGCCTGGCTGTTGCTGCTGCCCATCTGAAGACGGCGCAGCGACCGGACACTGTCCAGAGCTTGTAGTGCATCCTCTGTCGATTCGATAAGCCGGCGTTGCAGAAATCCTCCATAAATATTGGCCGCCTTGGTCTCTTGTTTGAGCCGCACGCACTCAAGAAACCACGCCGGAGCGGCAGCCGGGTCTGGAGCTATGGCCGATGTGGCCTTGCGTAGTAAATTCAGCACCACATCGCCCGTTTTGCGTTCACAGTCCTCCAGCATTTCCTGCTGAACATCTTTTTGTTCCGGAGACGTTTCAGCGGCAGTGTCACCCACATACATCTCAGCGCGTATACCGTCAAGATCTTCCATGAGGCGGCCCAGTGCTGGCGCTGCTACATCCCGCCCAGCTAGCAGCTTTTCGTCGATGTTGTCGTTTTCTTTATTTTTTCTGTATTTTTCTGTCTGAAGCTCTGATAATGGCCGGTTATGCTGCTGCTGCACCTCGGCAAGGGTCATGTGGAACCGCACAATGGCCTCAGTGAAGGGGTCCGTGCTACTTTCCTCTGGCTCTGGCGGAGACGCCACGCCATCGGATGCTTCATCGATTACAGGAGATGGCGGAAGCTGGAAGAAAGGCTCTTGGCCATCAGCCATACCCTGTGCAATGTCGAAAACAGATTCTATGTCGAGCATGATATTGTCAATGAAGGAGTCGCGAACTTCCTGCCAACCGTTTCTGAGCCGTTACCCCGGGAAGAGGCGACCGCGTAATACTCCGCCTTAAAACCACTTCTAAATTGATGCGGTTTGGTGCGACAAGACGCTCACACTAGAAAAATGATCGATTCAGCCTATTTGACACTACATGTCAATATTTTTTTCAAGCGTGCTCGCCGACAGTCAAAAAGGCAGAAAAACCCTTTAAGTGATACGTCGTATACTTCCGGGCAACCTCACGCTAGCCACTTCCGGAGTAGCATGCACAAATTCTAATTCATCTTGTAAGAGAAATATCAGGCATTCCATGGTCTGCGAAAGCAAATTTAAACCTCAAGTCCTCGCGAGAAAGGTACTGGATATAGGAAGAAAATACTGGACTTCGGCAAGGACAACTTCTCACCGCTTGATACATTGCAGGAAAAAATGCCCAGGAGTTTCCTTTTGGTTGGTCGACAATCACTGATGAATGAATATTTTGAACAGCGACTACTCTCGCCACTATAAAAGCAGACTTTATTTGGAAAAAAAAAATAGCGCCTCGATAGAAAATACGTCGCACATCTTTTTTAGTCATGCCTTTACTGGTACAAGCCCATTACCGCCGCGTGATTGTTAGATACAAATTTTTCTAGTGCTCTATTACCTGCTTAGTCGCAAACAGCTTCCGAAAAAAGAAAGCTGTCATCGTCCTCTTCCATGCTGCTAACCTCGTCTTTCATCCTTCCCCATTTTTTTTCTCCTTTCTTTCTTTCACTCCACGACCGGGTCGACCTAGCGCTTTCCCGATCAGCTCGTGTTTGCGCAGCTCGTGCTTCCTTCCTCCGCACTTTGTAGTCCAACAAAAACTCCTCGTACGCTTCTGGATCCACCCCGATAAACTCCTTTGCAAATGCCGCGTCCCCACCCGCCATCACTACCCGAAGCGCAACAACGTCTTGGGCGAGGACGCCCTGTCGTCGACAGAAGTCCAGGCGGGGAATCAGACGATCGTGCAAGGAGTAAGAGACGAAGCCCGGGAAGCCCGCAAAGTCCGATGCATCGAGGCCCAGCTCCTGGAAAAGCGCCCACTTCTTCCGCAATTCCCAGTCCACGGGGTAGCCAAGGACGGGGGGAGACGTTTGATGAACTCTTTCACATCTGGGAGTCCCACATCATCGCGGAGAAAAGACACGACAGGGCGTATGTTTTCCTCAATGGACAAGTCCAACACGGCGGGAAAGGAACGCAGCATTGTCCATAGTTCATGCCGCGAAAAGCCGAGTTCCGCTTGGAAGAAGAAAAGCACGGGCAGCATCTGCTCCTCCAGGGGCAGGGAGAGAAGGAGGGGGAAGGCCTCTACCATGCAGCCGATCTGCTGCGATGGAATGCCCAGCGACTGCAGCAGGACCACGCGCGGCTGCAAATCTGCGTTCACGCTCTTGAGGACGACCTGGGGGTAGCCGCGGAGGACCACGTGCATGCGCTGGACCTGCAGCTCCTCCCTGAGGAAGGCCACAACAGGCCGGAGCTGCTCGACAGTGCGAGGGTGCAGGAGCCAGGGATTGCGCCGGTAGAGGGCGCCCAGGTCGCGGGGTCGGAAGCCCACGTCCGTGGAGGACAAGTATGCGGAAACGCAAAAGATGAGGGAGGGAGGCACGTTCAGGAGGGAGGGGAAGCGGAAAGAGGCGTCGAGGATGTACTTGGTCGGCATCCCCACCTGCTCCAGAGTCGCCACCGTCTCCTCCACCCCCCCTTCCGGCTTTCGACGGAGCACCTCGGGCGCCGTGGTCACAACCTTGTACTTGTGCCGCTGCCATGACCCCAGTCCCAGGCCGATCTTTCCCCAGCTATTGAAGCCGAGGTCCTCCCACAGGTAAAAGACCACGCGCCGAATATCCGCCTCGGGGTCCAGTTCGTGGAGGAAGGCACTGCTGCCTTGCAGAATGCTCGTCACATTCTGCGCGGAGAATCCCAGGGATAATAAACAGTCACAGCTGCGCCGCCATCCTCTCCAACGTGCTGCCAGGTCCTGCGGCTTTGTTTTTCGAATCACCTGTCTAACGCCCGAGACACTCAAGCCCCGTCGATGCGCTAGTTCGTCCATGACGAGCGCATATAAGCTGGCTCTTCCGTCCCTGTCATTTTCACGATTATCACCGTAGCCCTGATCATAGCCCGCCACTGACATCCACCCTGCAATGGTAGATTCCAATGCTACGCTTCGCGGGTGGTGATGGGATCCCAACGTTGAAGATCTAGACGGGGTTGGCCCAGAAAAAGCATGCGCTCCTGGCACGGCCATCACAAAGAGGAGGAGGATCAAATACATGATCACTTCAAAAGACAAACACTGCAAGACCTTTTCAAGCTCCTTTTGCAGATGTGAGCGGCTGCGTGCACGGTTGCTCGCCACGCATCTGCAAGAGCAGGTCTTGCATTTGCTACCCTTGCCCTCTGCTTGCTCATTTAGAAGAAACCGTGAAAGCCGTAGTAGCTGTAAAACCTCGCAGCCGGCCGGACTTTCATTAGTTTCGTAGCATCCTATGGCTTGTTTGTCCGACTTCATGACCTTTTTCCGCCTTCGAGGCGAAAAATGTATACGTTTTCTGCTGGAGGCTGATGACGAGACGACTCAGAGGCTTGTGTCGAAGCCCTCAGCACTGACAGGAGGCCTGGAGGGGGGAGGCGTGGCCCCTTTCCCCTGCTCTCACGTATTTTTGCAGGCCAGCTCAACTGTGGTATGACAAAGTTGTCAGTAACATTGACCGTCAGGGTTGGACATGCTCATGCACACGGCATTTTGGCTGTGCCCGCGTCGCAGGGGCCTCCGAGTCACCACATCGCGGATTGCGCGAGCAGCGGCCCTGCTGCCTCTGATTCTGTTGCCCTTTAATGGCCCCAAGACTCTACTCATGGAAGCCATATATATCCCTGCTAGGCTCACAGGGGCGAGGTGACACAGGAAACACGTTTTGTTTTCACAGGAAAGGGGTCTTCGGTGCATGATTTCGGCGCATTTTCATCGGAAACTTGCAGGAAGAGGAAGAGCAGGAGGACGGTTGCGCCGAACCCTGGGGCGTACTTTTGCACTTCTGGTCATGCTTATAGGCGCCTTAGGGTCGACTGTCGTGCGACCAAGAACAGTGACTGCTTGCCGAAGCTCGTCAGCCTTTTTTGCATCCACCGGCGTTTTATCCATTCGTCGATGGCAGTCTGCGGTGCCAGGGCGCGCATATCCTCCTCTTCCTAAAAAAGCTAAGGCGGTAGCTGTACCTGCTGCAGCTGAGACCGATAATACCGTCGTGTCTCGCTTGCCGAGCGCATTGACTGACATATATGCGCTTTCAGAGCAAGAACTATGCGGATTTCTCCAGAACACCCTCCACCAGCCCAAGTACCGGGCTAAGCAGGTGCATGCCTGGCTCTACCAACGCGGAGCGGCCTCCTTTGAGGAAATGAGCGACTTGCCCAAGTCCCTTCGCTTGGGTTTGGCGGAGCACTTCAAGTTGGGGTGCTTGGAAGTGGCCTTCGAGCAAGTGAGCAAGGATGGGACCGTCAAACGGGCCTACCGCCTTGCAGACGGGCAACTGATTGAGGCGGTTCTGATGCCTTACGAGGATGGCAGACGGACGGCCTGCATCTCCAGCCAAGCAGGCTGCGCCATGGGGTGCGTGTTCTGCCAGACGGGCCAGATGGGCTTCGCGCGGCAGCTGACCGAGTCCGAGATCTTCGAGCAGGCCCTCCTCTTCTCCAGGGACCTGACCAAGGGGGGGGAGCGACTGAGCAATGTGGTGTTTATGGGTGAGGGTGAGCCCCTCAACAATCGCAGGCAGGTGTTCGGAGCCGTCCGGCGCCTGAACGCAGACCTTGGCATCGGGGCGCGGCATATCACGGTGTCAACGGTGGGCCTGGCCCCCCGAATCCGCGACCTGGCGGACGCGGTGGACGACCCGGAGGGCGAGGGAGCGCTACTCTCCCAGATAAAAGTGGCCGTCTCCCTCCATGCGACCAGGGACGCGGAGCGCACGGCCATCATGCCGGTGAATAGGCGCTTTCCCATCTCGGAGCTCATGGCCGCGTGCCAGTACTACGTCCAGCGGACGAATAGGCGGCTCAGCTTCGAGTGGGCGCTGATCAGTGGACAAAACGACAGCCCCCAGGTCGCAAATGAGCTCGGTCGGCTGCTTTCACCGCTGAAGGGGAAGTGTCACGTGAACGTCATCAACGTGAACCCGACCACGGGCTTCGAGGGCCAGCCGGGGTCCAAGGCGGCCATGGATCGGTTTCTGAACATCCTGAACGAGGACTGGGGGATTCCCGCCACTATGCGCGTGCGGCGAGGTCTGGACATCAATGCAGGCTGCGGGCAACTGAAGAACGAGCTACTCACGAGGGAGCTGTCTGCCAAGGTGTTAGCGGCTACACCGCCCAGGTCCCCCGAGGCATCTTCAGCGTGAACGAGGCATTCTGGGCTGTTAATACAACCAACAAATGAAAGTTGATGGACTTGATGTACGAGCTTGAAATTTTGTTTCATTTGCTTGTGGCCGGAGCCATGTTACTCGTCGCCCTCTTTACTCATGTCGTCATCATTCTCACTTGTGCTTCCCTCCTCCGCCTCCTGCGCCAGCTTTTCTTGAAGAATCTCTATTATGGCTTTCTGTGTCAAACGGTTCAGCTTTGCAAGCTTCTTGGCCACGTCGCGCTTCAGATCCCAGTTCGCCTTCCGTGGCGCGACTTTAAGTTGACCCCCGCTCCCGTGCTCCGCTTCATGTCGTTTCAACTCCCGTTGTATGGCGTCTTCTTCGTCTTTCTTCACATCTTCTGCTTTCTTGGGCTGCTCTTCCCCCTGATTATTTTCTGCATGCGCTGGCGGCGGCCGCACTTCATTCGGGCGGGGCACGCCTGCAGCACTGTCCTCCACGCTCTTCGCTCCTGTCGGGACAAGCCCGCTCCCTGTTGATGTCGCAGTTGACAGACTGACAAGCGATGCATCGGCAGGTCTGTAGTTGCGGAACTTCAATGGCTGTTTGTGTGTGTGGTTGATAGGTTGTCAGCTCCGCCTGGGATGAGTAATCGGGGATGTATGGCGCTTACTTTCTTCGATGTTGTCGCCATGATGGAGCAGTAATAAGCCGGCGCCGTTCGATTGAAAGATGTCCTGTGACCTGTGCTGCATAAATTGATATATTGAGGGGGATGGTGTGCTGAAAAAGGACAACGAACTTGCCTGACTAGAAAAATGCGTCCAGGCAACACGCGTATCATTTTGACTCTTGAGCTATCAAAGAGAGCACAGAGACCCTAAGTTCGGAAAATGTCACATCTCCCACCCTCATTTCGAGCACGGACCAGGCGGGATGGGAACAAAAAAATTCTTTTAACCCCAATGCTTGACTTTTACCGACTCTGAGTGGTCAAATTGTTGTCCTTTCGGGGACGCTGTCACGGCGGGGCCACGCGGTGGCGGAGGAGTTGGGGAGGGTAGCCTCCCCGTGGCATTTCCCAGTCGAGACGCGTCAAGTGTCGCACTCAGCCGTAGGGCGCCCTCTCTCTCATCTCACATCGTTCCCTGCTTCTACTCTTGGACCTGTGTGCACGGCCATCACCGGTAGTTATCCCAAGATGGGTCGGCTGCAGCAAGTCTACCATTTCCTGAAGAGGAACCGACGCGCCATCGGCCTGATAGCGGGGGCGTCCGCGGCGGGTTTTGCGGCGTGGCGGATCAAGAGAGTCCTCGATGATTACAAGCGCATAATCAGGGAGCATGACCTGGCACGCTTGGACCAGCACCGGTATGTGGCACATCTGGGGGAAATCCTTGTAGTATGGGTCAGGGAAAAAGCCCACCATTCGCAAACTGACTTCCTGCACTGTCTCATTGACAAACCTATCAACCGCAGTCTACAGATGCACATGTTACGCTCCCGAGGTGAATGTGTCCCTGCTCTCCTGAATTTCATGCAAACACTGCGTAAGCGCGTCTATGAAATCGTAGACGTGACGTCGCCGGTGAAGGCGCTCAAGGCGGGGCGGGGGGGTTTGAGCAAGCAGGAGGAGCAGGCTCTCTGGCACCAGGTGAAAGTGTCGGGGTTCTCACGGTTCTTCTTGGCCTACTACGGCTTCAATCTGCTGAATGTGATGCTCCGGGTCCAGGTGCACATCTTAGGACGGTACGCTTTCGAGGCCTCGCGGCAGGAAATGCTGCAGGCGGCGCAGAGGGACCAGGAGGAGGGGCAAGGACCACGCGGCGAATTCTGCAGCTTGGGCGATGCTGGCTATGCAGCGACAGGATCATCTTCGTTCGGCTCGGACGACAGGTGCAGATTGCTGTCTCTGGTGTATGAGCATTTTCTTGGGGAGGGCTTGCGGCGCCTGAAGGAGGCGGTGGAGGTGGCCGTCCGCGAGGAGCTCGGGGCCTGGTCCGTGCACGCCAAGATCCACGTGGACTACGCCGAGCTACACGACGCCTTGATGCGCATCCGCCGGCGCCTGGAGGGCCCGCGTGGCGTGCTCCTGGCCGAGTCTCCTCTGCTCCAGTACGTGCTGGACGCGGCCTCTCAGGCGGAGGATCTGGGACCGCCGGGCAGCAGGCTGCACGAGATGGTGAATGAGACGTGGGATGCCTTTGAAAGCCCCAGCTTTAAGCTGGCCGTGGAGGACTGTCTAGATGTCACATTTCGCGTTTTTCTGGAGGACCTCTTCCGTTCCCTCTACGCCTCGCCCCCGTCAGCCTCGAGGTCCGCGCGGCCGGGGGCTGATGAGAAGGAGCGCCCTCTGGGGGAGGGCATTGGGGAAGGTCCAGTGGCTGAAAGGTCGACGGAGGAGGAAGGATCGGAAGAGGCGAGAGACTCGGACGCCGACAGGGCGGGGGCAGAAGAGAGTAAGCCTCTAGATCCCCCTCTGGCGAAGCTGATCCCGCACATGAAGAACGCTGCCACGAAGGTTTTTAATGGTGACCCGCAAAACAACGAGTATATTCGTATCACAGCACAAAACCGGAGCGTCAATCTCTTGTGTTCCTCCTTCTTCACAATTGAGACGTCTTTTGACTGACGAAACAGGGGGTGGGGAGGTTAGAACTGACATTGTCGGTAGTGATAACAAAAATATGTAATTTAGTCATCCGTAAATTTCCTTAAAAGAAGAATCGCGAAACGATAAGTCAATGGAAATATGCAGTCATTTTTTTGGCACACGCAACCAAAGATGTTGGCTACATCGCTTCAGACAGTTCCATCGCATCGAAGGTGGAGGACAGCTCCAGCCGTTGAAGTAGAGTCCTGACTTTTTTCTTGTATTTCATTCAAACCTTATTGGCACTCATTAACGGTTTTTTTGTGACAATTTCTGATCGATTAGACGGAGGCGGTACTAAAGCCCAGGTGAGGCTGGGCTGAGCGTGGTAGGCGACGAAAGGGATGTTGCTGGAGTGCTTTACCAAGATACGATTGAGCCTCACTTTTGTGTTAGCCACAATCATGCTTCTGCTGGCAATCCGGTCACTCCGTGCATTTCACGCGGTACGTATTTGCAACCATATAAGACATCCAAATGTGTTTGTTGATGTCCAATACGGAATGGAAGATTGCCTGGTCAATGACGTCTTAAAACATTATGTCCTGGCGTACTACAGAAGCCACAGACAAGCTTCGGTAAGATAAAAAATCCATTATGTCGGGTGAGCGCTCCTTCCTCGTCTTACGAACAGCGTGGGCGACGGGATGTGGGTCTCCATGGGGCCGTGCGGATGGCGTCAGGACGGCCCTCGTCTGGTGGGAAGACCCTGGACGTCAAGCTCGTCACAGAGGAGCCAGACCTGGTCTTGGCCCACCTGGAGGCACGCCGCGCCTCGGATGAGCAAGCGTCTAGCGTTTCAGATATTGCAGGTACGATATCATTCGTGTCAAGTCGAGTCGAGCCTTTATGTCAGCTCACAGTCCAGATACCATGCATCCAGATTTGTATCTGCGACGAAAAGAGCTGGTTAAAGAGCAACAGGGCGCTCTCACGCAGCGCAAGTCGTTATCGGCAGAGATCGGGAAGCTAATGCGGGAAAAGCAGGACGCAGAGGCGGCGAAGCTGAAGACGCAAGTGGAGTACGCAAACAGCGTGGCATCCACGGCGGAGGAGCAGCTGCATCAACTAGAGCGGGAGATGGACTCGCTCATGTTACAGATGCCCAACCTCTTGGACGACCGCGTCCCGGACGGCGACGACGAGCTCAACAACGAGGTGGTCCTAGAATGGGGCGTGGAGAGGCGCAAGGTGGGCGAGAGGTACCTCTGGCACGACGACATCGCCGCTAAGCTCGGGGGGTACGACCCGGCGGCCGCCGCGAGGCTTTCAGGGGCCCGCTTCAGTATCTTGAGCGGTCCGCTGGCTCGCCTGGAACGCGCCATCGTCCAGTTCTTCCTAGACCAGCACACGGCCGAGAACGGGTACCGGGAGGTGTCGGTGCCCTACATCGTCAGCCGCTCCACTCTGACGGGCACGGGGCAGCTCCCCAAGTTCGAGGAGGACCTGTTCGCAGTGAACCACCAGGTGAACGGGGAGGACGCCTTCTTGATACCCACGGCCGAGGTGCCCATCACCAACCTGCACCGGGACGAGATCCTGGAGGCCACACAGCTTCCCCTCAGCTACGTGGGCCTCACCCCCTGTTTCCGCGCTGAGGCCGGCTCCTATGGCCGAGACACCAAGGGGTTGCTTCGGCAGCATCAGTTCCACAAGGTCGAGCTGGTCAAGATCACCACGCCCGAGCAAAGCGACGCCGAGCACGAGGCCCTGACACGGGATGCGGAGGAGTGCCTCCGGCTCTTGGAGCTGCCTTACAGAAAGGTACGCCTGTGCTCGGGGGACATCGGCTTCGCGGCCGCCCACTGCTACGACCTGGAGGTATGGCTGCCCGCCCAACAGACTTACCGGGAGATCGCTTCCTGTTCCAATTGCCGAGACTTTCAGGCCCGGCGCATGGCCTTGCGGTATCGGCCAGCCCCCTTGGGAGCAGCCAAAGAAGCGGGGAAAGGGAAGAAAAGCACGGTGCTCTGCCACACGATCAACGGCTCGGGTCTGGCCGTTGGGCGGACGCTTGTGGCTATCCTGGAGAATTATCAGGAGGAAGACGGCTCCGTCAGGTTGCCTGAGGTGCTAGTACCCTACATGGGAGGGACGACAAAGCTGGAGCCCGTAGCGAAGAAGTGAGAGGGCCGCGGGCATCTGGGGGAGCAAGAGGGAACACGAGGGTGGGATCGGGGGGGAGACGCGCAGAGTGGATTCTGAAAGCAAAGAAAAGCACCGAGACTTATTGATACGAGCTACAATGCCAAACACTTTTTCCTCGCTCGTCTGTGTCTTTTCCGTTATCTCGCCCACTTGGGCTTATGCTTTTGTTGCCTCGCTCTGTACAAACCCTTGCGCCCGGCCTTCTTGGTCTCCTGAATCGCCAAGAACTTTTTCTTTGAGTACCTCCGAACACCACGGTCTGCCAGAATCTCATCCACAAAAGTGCGCTTTCGGTCTCGCCGCGGCATGCGAGCGTGCATGGGATCCATCCGGCCCTCGATGACGGTACCCACCTGAAAATCTGGAGCCAGCCCCTCCAGCCCCTTGTAGAAACGCTTCGGGTCCATGTAGTTGCGCATCAACAGCATTTTCGCGTCTTGTTTTCTCTCCTTATCCCTTTCGTACACGCCTTGAGTGGTCTTCATCCCTGTTATACCCCCCCCGGCACCCTTTCTGTGAAGAACTGCACCAGAGTTGACCTTTCTCGGCATGTGTGCAGCTGTATCGGCCTTCAGCTGAAGGGAAGATTGTTTTGACGCGGCGACTTGCTTGGCGTTCGGGACTACCATAGCCTTCTGTGTTTTGCCAAGTTTTTCAAATTGAAAATAGGACGGTGTCGGGAGACCAGTCTCAAAGCGCATATTGCCCAGTCGTGACGCGCCCTGCACGAGCCTCCGTTGCTGCGGCAATAGGGCATGGGAAGGTGTAGCGTCCAATAAGATCATACCGTTGCCGCTGTCTTCTTCTGACTCATCATCATGAATGGGTTTCTTGCCCATCTGTGCATCTGCTCGATCTCCCGGCGAACTGTTTTCAACGGATTTGTTTATTGCCTGTGGGGAAGAAGGATGGCGATGAAAAAATGCAATACGCTTACTCATGTTGTGTTTCCCTATGACTTCTGTAGAAAGCGTCGTATCTATCTTCTGAAATGTACAATCATGACGAAGCTGAAACACAATTCGCATTTGCTTTGTTGTTGCATTGCTCTCGCCCTCTGCCATCAATATCTTGCCTCGATGTACACCACCACTTACCTCCTCAGGCGGCTTGCCGTCCTGTCGCTGCTTTACAAGTTTTGGCTTTCGTTTCTTGAACACCATTTCTTCCACAGCTGGACGACTGAGTGCGTCATGTATGGAAAATATGGTGGGATGTTTTGAGAAATCAAGCAGGGATGCGTGCTCTCTTACACAGACAAGGCAAGGAAGCAATGAGCGTCCGGACTGCGGGGAGGTTATGTTACGTTGCGATTTTTTCGTTGGAATGTTTGCGTCACAAACAACATGTGAGGTACTTTTCGATACACAGGAGGGGTTTTAGCAAGATTTCAATCACTAAGTTTCCCGCGCACACTCTAGCATCGTCATGAGACCACCCAGCAAGGGCTTCTGTGACATCACACGTAGACCGGCCTGACGAGCGAGACTTGCCACGTCCTGATTGTAAACACAACCCTTACCACCGTAACGCGCGACTATACCGGCCGTCACGTCTTGGTATGCGGCCACAGGTAGCAAATTACTGCGACTGTTTTCCAGGAGCAACACTCTTCCCGATTCAGCCTTGCACACGCGCGCCATTTCCTTCAAGGCTTGGGCAGGGTCCAGGTACACACAGAGGGAAAATGTATCGCAGACACAATCAAAACTTTCATCGGCAAAGTCCATCTTGGCCACATCCATTTCACGGAAGCGAACGGCGTCGGGCCCCAGGTTCAGGAAAGCCGCCTTGGACCGGGCCTCGCGCAGCATGCCAGGACTCAGGTCGATGGCGTCGAGGGAGACGGTGGGCGCGCTCCCGGAACCAAACTCGTAGAAAGGAAGGTTCAAGCCCGTGCCAACTCCGCACTCCAAAACATGCCCGCGGGCTCGCCCGATCAACTCCTTACGCGCGGCGTCGAGGCCCAGGAAGCGGGCAGCGTCCCCCCCGTCCAAGCCGTCGTAGGAGGATGCGTACTCGTCATAGGCTCCCTTCAGCGACTGGCTTGCCGTCACAGACGACGAGGGGACATCGAAGACGTTTCGGGCAAGCGCTGGAGACGACGACCGTTGGCATCCAAGCAGGAGCCCCACTGCCAGCGTGGTGAGAGAGGAGCCCGCCCCCGAGAGCGCCTGAGCGCGCGAGGCCCTGACTGGGGCGATGCCCGGCCTAGCGAGCCTTTGCGGTGGGGGGGGCGTCACGGACAGCCTGGTGGAGGTCGCTCGCAGGGGTGTCTGAGTGTCATCCGCCCTCTCCGACGGACCTGTCGCCTGCGACGCGGGCCCCCCGCGGAGGCTTGCAGCCCGGCCCTCCGACTCCCCGCCCGCGAGGCGAGGGGGAAGGACCTGGTATTGCAGCAGCCGTAGACTCATGCCCGCCTGGTCGATCGGGATCTTTCGCTTGGCTTTCATCCGCAAGGTGCGCGTCACGTCCGGGTTCCCTGAGAGCAGGAAGGCTTCCGCCCCCCCGGCCTCGCGCTTCAGGAAGCGGCCCAGAGCCTCCCAGCTCTCCCTCGCCCCCTCGTTCAGCCGCAGGTCCCAGGGCGGGTTGCACACCACCAAGTTCGGCTTCCGCGCCACCGAGCCGTCCAGACGATGATCCGACGCGTCCTGGCTGCTGAAGATGATGTCGTGGAAGACGCCCGCCGAGCCCGCGTCCCGCTTGGCCAGCTCCACGGCCGCCGGGTGCCAGTCGTTACCCAGGATAGGGAGCGGGGCGCGCTCCAGCTCCTGCGCCTTGGCCTCGCGGACGAGCCGCCGGAGTAGGGCTAGGTCCGTGTCCGGCCACCGCGCCGGCGTCAGGACCGCCAGATCCCCCTCCCGCTTCAGGCGCGTGAGGCCGGGCGCCAGCCTCCTCGCCATGAGCGCGGCCTCGATGGCCAGAGTCCCGGACCCGCACATGGGGTCCATCAGCACGTGCCTTTCCGGGTCGTAGCCGGCCAGCATCAAGACGGCCGCCGCCGTGGTCTCGCGCAGGGAGGACTTGTGCATTTGCTGCCTGTACCCGCGTTTGTGCAGAGAGCCCGGCCCGCTCAAGCTCCGGTACAGCCAAGCCTCGTCCCGCTGCAAAAAGAGAACAAGGGGCAAGACGGGGTCCTTCGCGTCCACGCTGGGACGCCGGCCGCCCGACCGCTCGCGAAAGGAATCGACCAGGGCGTTTTTGACCGTCAGGGAGGAGAAGTGGGTGTGTGCGATGTCTGTCGCCACCTCCCCCCCACCCAGGACGCAACTCACGGCAACGCTATCCTCCACGCTCATCGCTTCGAGCCATGCAATGCGCCGCACCATATCGTACAGGTCCTTTCGATTACAAATCCCTCGCTGCCGCACCATGAGCTGCCACACTCCGTTTGCGGTACGGCTCCAAAGCAGGGCGCGGTAGGCCGCCTCCTCCGTACCCAGAAACGCACATCCCCGCTTCTGGACTTCCACCTCTGCGGCACCAATTTGCGTTGACAACAATTCTTGACCCAGTACCGTCGCAAGCCCGCCCGAACACGGGGCAAAGTAGTGCTTCAGAGGTGGGTGGCCTGAAAAAGCCTGAGCCCGGTCAAAGAGGGCGAGGGGGAGCAGGGAGGCTAAGAGGGCCTTTATCGGCCTCCAGGGCCCCCGAAATTGATATGGCGGCATACAGAAATTGCGCAAGGCCTCCCCACAGCCCTCGCCTCCTGCACGGGTAAACATGTTTCATTTGTTAGGTTTGCCGAGCGCCTGGCGCTGTGTTGAAGATGGAATGGGCGACATCGCTCTGTTCCACGACCCCGCAACCCCTGTGTGCCTTCACACGCTGACGCCTGACGTGCCATAGTATTGCACAGGGCGCCTGTGACCTTAAAAGACAAGGAGTCACACATGTGCGGATCGATCCCACAAACAAAGAGGAGCAGGAGCCCCAATTTAATCGTAATCAAGACGGCTTCCATCTTTACCTTCATCGCTGTGATGACGGGCGCACCTGGTGCGGCCAGGAGTACTGCAGCATTTGTGCAACATCATGGCCGCATGTCCAAAAATTGGAGGATGTCAAGGAGTGTAGCTAGGACAATGACGTCAAGCTCTACGCGTGGAAGAGGAGCCTCCCAGGAGGATGGAGGAAGTGAGGGCCCGGACGAGCGGGTCAGTCTGGCCCCCATGATGGAGTACACCGACAGGTAGGCGCGCGTTCACTCGTAGGATGGAACGTCTCGTTTGCTTTGAAGCCACAGCTAAGATTCCTATCCAACGTTACAGACATCTTCGGTTCTTGCTGCGCCTCCTCTCCAAGCGCATGGTTTTGTACACGGAGATGATTACCGCACCTACCCTGTACCACAACGAGGAAAGCCGCGACCGCTTTCTGCGCTTCAACAGCCCGGCCGAGCACCCCGTGGTGCTCCAACTTGGTGGTTCTGATCCTGAACAGCTGGCAGAAGCCAGCCGCCTCGCCTCTCCCTACAAGTATAACGCGATGAACCTGAACTGCGGATGCCCGAGTGAGAGGGTCTCTGGCAAGGGCTGCTTCGGGGCCGCTTTGATGCGCGAGCCCGAGCGCGTCGCAGAGCTTTGTACGGCCATGAGCGAGGGAAGCCAGGGCAAGATTCCTGTCACGGTGAAGTGCAGGATAGGGGTTGATGACGACGACAGCTACGAGCAGCTCGCACGTTTCGTGGAGACCGTCTCGGGCGCGTCGCCAGTTCGCCACTTTTTGGTGCACGCCCGGAAGGCGATCCTGGGCGGGCTCTCCCCTGATCAGAATCGGAAGGTCCCTCCCCTGAAGTACCCCTTCGTCTACCGGCTGAGTCGGGAATTCCCGCACCTCCGCTTCACCCTCAATGGCGGGGTGCTCTCCTACGAGGACGTGGCCGAGCACCTGCGGGAGGGAGTGCACGGCGTCATGATCGGGCGCGCCGTCGTTGCCCGTCCCTTCTACTGGAGCGATGTGGACGCACGCGTGTTCGGGTCAGCGGATGGGAACCCGGGTCTGACGAGGAGGGAGGTTCTGGACAGGTATGGGGCCTACGCGCAGGAGGAGGAAGCGAGGGGGGGGCCCAGGATGCGTCGCTTGCTCATTAAGCCTGTGCACAATTTATTCGCGGGGGAGCCGATGGGGAAGCGCTTCCGCGCAACGTTAGACCAAGCCTTGCTGGAGCCGTCTCTGGATGTTCGGCAGGTGCTAGAGCGAGCCACTGCCGTGATGCCAGCGGCCCTTCTGGAGGTGCCACCGGGATCGGCGGCCATCCCTGCTCCCGAGGCTGTCAGACATTAGGACGTAAATACATTCGGGCGGGGACGGAGGGATTGTCGAGAAGTTCATAGAGCAAAGATGTTTTATACGAGAACGATATCAAAGTACCAGACGCGTGCATCTTCCCTCGCATGCAGTTTTATGTTTTTTTAATCACCTTCATAGACAATTGACTGACGGGGGAAGGAGTGGACACAATTACTTGCTACATTTGACAAGGTCCACGTCCTGAAAGCTGCTCGTTTGCGCATATCTGCTTCTCACACACGGGCTCCCCTTACCTATTTAGGCTGTCACAGGAAATTATAACCGCTTTCGTGCACATAGGGTCTTCAAGTGGGAGTAGGAGCCCTCTCTTCTGGACAAATTTTCACTTTTTAGACACTCTTGCTTCTACTTGACCATGGATAGTCTCCGCCCCTTCCCTAGCAGGCCTTAGAGCCTGGTAAGTTGGGCCGCAGTCGAGTGTTTGAGATGGCGATAGCCTTCTTCGTCGAAAACGCACATGGAAATTACTCGGGCACACGCACTGTCGTCATTGCTGTCACCCTCTTTATCCATGCTTCCGCGCCTTTTCAACTCCCGCGAGACCTCTTCTGACTTTAATCGTTCTCGCATCAGCGACTCGTGCGTGTATGCTCCGCACTTTTCCGTCCTGGCTGGTACTGCGTAGATTTACGGATACTTTAGTGTATTTTTATTTCCTGTGTGCAACGTACAAATGTACGCCTGCCTCGGGCGGCGGGCATTAGAGTCGTGGATATGACAACATCCACTCTGTCAACAGCAACCCCCCTCGGCCGCGCCTTCTTTGAATCTATGCGTCAGGACGCACACACACATCAAAATTGAGAAGGCTCTTCTCCTATTCGATCCGAGGTACCCTCCCACAAGGGACCAAATCACATGCTCCCTTATTATTTGCATTTTCGCGAGCATTTTCCAGCCTAGATCTTTGCTCTTTAAATTCTTACATTGTCCTAATAATCATATGCAAACAAAAAGACCCACGGGCGGGAGAGCGATTTATGCATCGAGTCACCACGGCCTCGAGTACAAAGGCCTACACCCATCTGATGTGTCAGCTCATACACGTATCGTCATCCTCCCGTTGTGGATGCTTTCATTCAATACAGACTCCGGTAGCGGCCTGAAACCTGCAGCAAAGAGAGGAAGACAAGCATGCCGTTATAGTACCGCCATTGGTTCCTGGGGATAGCCGCGTTCCATAATTCCGCCACAAAGGCCGAAGCCACGTTCCTATCCGTTGCCGCCAGAGAGGCGACGGCATTCACGGCCACCAGACCTACGGAGTGGCTCTTCAAGAGGGCCGTTCCGTTGAGGGCGTAGGTGGAGGGGTAGTCCTGGATGCCCTGCCGGATCAGAAATGCCTGCAAAGTGTCGGCTTCGCGTTGCTGCCAGGCGTCGCGCCGCCACCAGGACCAGTCAACAGCCACGTTGGCCACAACCCTCCAGGCGTCCCACTGGAAATTAGAGTGTCCCGCCAAGTCCTTGACACCGACGCCCTCGTAGTCCGTGTAGTCGGCCGAAAGGCCTGTGTGTTGGTCCACGGCCTTATGGAGCAGTCGCCGAGAGCGCTCAGCCGCCTGCAAATAGAAGGAAGCCAGCTGGTACTGGCCGCGATCGTTAAGAAATCTCGCCCAGACCTCGTAAAAGTGCGGAAGGTGGTAGGAGGGGTTCGTGATGACTGGTCGCACGGGGTTGAGCGTGACCTCGCCGTGCTTGGTGAACATGCCTCGCCTCGGGTCCCCCATGCCCAGGAGAAGCGCCACCGCCTCCTTCTCGTAGTCGTACCGGCCCTGAGACATCCACCGGTTGTTCGCGAAAATGAGAGCCGTCGCGATCCACTCCTCGGCGTCCGGGGCGGGCGTCCCGTCGAGCTTCCGGCCCGCCAAGGAGCACTTCCACGCAAAGAAGCCCTTGTACCGCCCTGTCACGTGGCGCATGTAACGCGAGGCCCAGGACCAGAGGGCGTCGAAAGTTTCTCTCCTGTCGTACTGCACCGCCACCATCATACCGTAGGACATGGCCTCGCTCGTCACCCACCCGCTCTCCGTGTTGAGCACGTAGCCGAGCTTGTCGCCCTCGGGCGTCTCACCCACCGGGACGTAGATGGCCTCCGTGCTCACATCGCCTTCGAAAAGAAAGCGCCAGGTATCCTGTAGCTTTTTCTCCACCTCTGCGTCCGACTTGTGCAGCATTTCGGCGAATAGGTTCCGGTAGAGACCGCCCTCGGCCGCGCCCAGCATGGGCCCTGTGGAGGGGGGGGGGGTATTTTCTTGAACGAGTGGGGGGGGCTCTGTTCAACGCGCCGTGGCAAGGGAAAACAGAAATCAGCCCCATTTGGGGGTAAGAGGAAAGGCCAAAGAGATGCGATAAGAAAGAGGGGTGAGATCTACTTGAAAGGCAGGCCCCGGCCCGAGAGAGGGGCCGAGGACGATCAGCCTTACCTATGTGACCCTCGGGAGGACTGAATGTCAGTGGTTCGCCCCTCACGTTCTTCTGCTTATTCAGTCGAATGGGTAAATGCACGGCTGCCAGGATGACGCAGAGAGCGAGGCCGGCCAGGAGGATGACGGAGGAGAGGACGCGCACGGGGTAGGACCTGAGAATGCGGTGGGAGCAGTGGAACAGGCTGGCAGCACCAAAGGGGGACAACGCCATGAGTGGACTAGCTGGCTTCATTTCTCAGCCCCCCTTTTCGACGCGCTCTCCCAAAGAGCTATTCCTCCCATTTTACCTGAGGGCGGGCATGACCAGGTAGTAGCCGAAGGTCACCAGCGCGTTCACTGCAGAACCCTCCTCGTCCTCCTCCTCTCCTCCTTCCAAATCCTCCTTGAAGTGACCCACATCGTTTAAGGAGGGAAGGTGACTGCGCGACTCTCCCGATCCGATGCCTATCATCACCTGTGACCCGTCGCCCCTCATCAATCTCTTCGTCCCTCCCATGGACACCGCCTGCCACGCCCCGGTCATCTCATCCACCCTCGTCCCACTCCCCTCCCACGCTCTTCCACGCATGCGGTCGGCCTGATGTGCCGCTGCGATGGCTGCGTGGGATGGCTTCGATGAAGTGTCCCCAAGGCGCCCGGGCACCGACCCGGACCGCTGTACGGGGGCAAAGCCCTCGCTGGACGGCACTTGCAGGTGCTCCAGCCGCTGCTGAGACTTCTGGCCGATGGCATCGGCGCGGAGAAGGCTCTTGGCCTGAGGAGAGCGGGCTCGGAGGGTAGAGGAGCGGCTGGCCGGCCGAGGCACCGTCGGGGAGCCTCGCGAGGAAGGGCGTGGTGACGCCCCCATGCTCGCTAGGCTGCCGCCGCTCGATTCGGCCTTCATGCTGTTGCGCGAATTCTTGGGATGTATTTTTTGAAGTGATCTGCGGCTTCCGCTGAGCAGCTGCTGGCTTCCTTCCTCGTGGCCGAAGCGATTGAAAAGAAATGAGAAGGGAGACCCCGACGGTCGCCGGTGGCTTTCCCTTCCTTCCTCGTCGTCCAGGCCCTCGTGGTCCTCACCAATGCCATCCTCACTGCCAATGCTTTCCATTTCAGGACTTTCATTAAAACGGACAGCGTTTACGATGGACCGCGTCTCTTCGTCCTCCTCCCACACATATTGGTCATAGCCATCGTCCCCTACATGCTGCGAAGGTGGAGGCGGGGACCCCTGTGGCTGCTGCGACGATGACGATCTCCAAAACATGCCGCTTTGGCAGGACAATAATAATAATGTTGTCACGCCTCTTCGAATGACCAACGTCGTCACTCGCTGCAGCCTGTGGGTTGCATGTGGTAGTGGTGGGCGAGGAGCGAGGGACCCAGAGGGATCGTGAGGTGCATAGCCAATATAGTTGCCATTATCACACGATCGTGACAAGAACACATGTCAACCGTGTCCAACTCCCCGCGGCATTTATACTGGATTGCGGAATACCATCACAAATAAACACTTTGAATTTGAGGACTGATCGCCTCTCCCGTGGTGCTTCAACCGCGTGATGGGTGTTGGTATGGCATCACCACTTGGCAACCGACGAGAAAAATGGCGAGAATTCAGTAACGCACACTTGGTCCCCTCCTTCCGAATCGACGAAAATAGTTGGTGAACCAGTAATGGTTTGAACGTGCTGTGTTGTCCAGAGGTTTGAATCCGTGGTCAAAGGCATTAAAAGCTGGGGTCTTTGGGCAAGTTGAATTTGAGGCTAGGACAGGCTTTGACATGACTTTCAACGTCCACTCCTTTGCTTTAGGCGGGGTACCCTTCAAAAGCTTTCAATACACGCGCAACTTCTTTCTGCTTCGTGTTCTCCTAAAATGTATTTCGCGGTTCTTATCCACGTACATGACCGGGTTTACCTACCAGGCGGCGGCTTCTCCTGACAATCAATTTCAAGTTCTTTATCATACGCTCCGCTTCATCTCACGTTCCGATCCACCCGCACGGAACCAGGTCAACACGGGTTTCTGTGTCTCTAGTCATATGATGTCAAGCCGGCATCTTTTTGTTTCTGCTCTTAGAAAGTGAAGCGTGGAGCCCTTGTCCATATAAACCAGGTTTTCTTGATGATCTTTCCTTTTAGCTGTTCTCTCATTCCTACCCACGCATACCTTCTGCACAATTATCCCTTCAAAGCCACATCATAAGAGGGCTCCCACGACCTCAGCCTACCAGACTAAATTCCGATACTTTTTACGGGATGAACCGTGCCCTCACAACCGTAGCACCGGTGCATGCGTGCAATTAGGGCAACAACTTTCGAACCTGGCTTTGTTTACTGCTTGATTGTTCCATTCAGAAGCAAGTGTGAATTGGGTACGGGCTAGATGCGTGATACCTTACCAGAAGCTTCTGCAAGCTCCAAGGCCGCTGAATCTAACAAAATGATCGGCACATGGGAATCACAGACTATCACCCTATCCCTTGCGCAAGCGTAACGAATTAAATGTTTAACGAAGAGACAAAAGTTATTTCTTCTGGACGGTATGTTATGAATGTTTGCATTACATGTAAAGCCACTCATCTCATGCCCCTGCTTTTACTTTTCGTTTAACTTCCCCCTCCAAGGGGCATCGTAAATATACGGCATCGGGCGGATGCTCTTTTTCGCCCTCCTCATAGGTGTAAGAAGCGGCTATTGCCATGAGGGAGCCGTCAAAATTGTAGGAGAGGGCCGCGATGCTAGTCTTGTAGGGACCCAAGTGCGCCAGCCTTTTTTTGTTTTGTCCATCCCAGGTATAGACCATGGCGTCGCATCCCCCCGTGGCGAACGTGCCGTGCGTGGGATGGAAGGCGACGGCGTTGACAGGGTAGACGAGGTCATCTTGCCGGTGGCACTTGAACGCGTACCTCTGAGCCTGCACCTCGGTTGAAAGATCGAAGTACTCGACCGCCACGCGGCCTTCGACCGAGGCCAGCACGTATCCTGTGAGGCCCGACGGGGGGTGAGAGAGCATGCTGCCCATGAGCGACGGGACTGCTCGCAGCCTCGAGTGGATTGGAGCTAGCATACGGTCACATAGGAGGCGTTTCGGAGGAGAGGAGCTTACCGCTGTGGTCCGGGGCGATACGAATGCAACGAGTCTGATGCTTTAGGGAGGACTCGCGACGGTCGTCCGGCGCGCTAAGTTTTCTGGGTGTTTAAAAAGGTAGAGCATGCGTGAGGCGCGCGAGTGCTGTTGAAGGCCCCCGAATCCCGCAGGTGGCGACACGCACCAAGAAGAGACCCGCTCAATGCTCAGGCACCCACATGATCATGGCCACGGACACTCTTGTGCCCCGATCCCCGCGCTCTGCCCTCTACCCTCACCTGACGTCGTAGATGAGTACGGACCGATCCGAGGTCCCCACCACTAGCCGCTGGCCTGACACCGCCAGCGTGAACACCTTCTCCGACGGCGGCAGACTCTGCGCCCTTCCTTGGCTGCGCGGGTCCCTGCGTACGTGGTGGATGGGTGTCAGAAAGGAGCGGGAGAGCGTGCGTGCGCTTTGTCCGAGGGAGACTCCGTGGCAACGGCTGAGGGTACGACTCCACTGGCCATCTCCGTCCTACTTCCAAGTCCTTCTTTCGTTTCTCTTATCCATTTCCTTCCCGCCTCTCACCAAATGTGCACATTGCCATCCCATCCGCCGGTTACCAAAGCCCCCAGCTCCCTCGAGAATTCCATGCAGCTCACTTCCCCGGCATGGCTGCCGATATTCAGGCCAGGGTCCTCTGGCTGGTTCAAATAAATCCTACGGCACAATTCGTATGACGGCAAATTAATTCAAAGGATACCGGTATGCGCGTACTCTGAATAGATAAAGATTGGGGATAGACAAGATAGAACGGGCTTGGCCTCGATCTCCGAGCCTCCTCCCACTCTTGCGAAGTCACGGAACTTACTTGCGAACAGCCCTGTCCAGTCCGCCCGAAAATCCTGTGTGATCGTCCTGCACTGTGCAATCCAGGACGGCAGCATGATTCTGCCAGATGCCCTTGGCTACATTTGATGATGTATCGTACAAACGTGCGGTCTTGTCCCAGGACGAGACCAACAACAGGTTGGAGCTGCTGGGGGAAAATGCGAGCGAGGAAATGCCATCTTGCGGAGGGTTGTCAAGTAGTCGCTCACTGCCCGGTTCCATGGCGCAAGATATTAGACGGCTGATAAGAAACGCCGGGGATCAGCGCAATAGATTACCGGACTGGGGCGGCAGAGCCGTCCGGCACTCCCTGTGCAGGAAGCTACTAGCAGTAGGGAGGGGAAGTAGGGAGGCCGTCGGCCGGAATGATGTGGATAATTATACACATTAATCGACCATGTCGGCAGTTTTGTTGTACAATCTGACAAAGGTGGCATTTAGGCAGGCAAATCCGTGACCCCGTGAGCCAGAGCGCCTCATGGCTGTGGCAGGCCTCGCCTCGACCAAGTCGAAGGGAAGGAGGGGGCTCTGACGGCTAGTCATCGCCAGCCGAAAAGCCTCAGGAGCTTCGGGAACGGGGGCTTTGAGCACACGGGTCCACGCTCGCAGGATGGTACGGCTGTGTTTATCTCCCAACAATTCATCTAGCGCATTCTGCAATGTGGCGGGGTGTCAAATGTGGGATGGATGGCCGCAAGGCCCTCCCTCTCTCGGGTGGGCCCAGGTGCTAACTGCGACGCCATACTTTTCCTCACAACAGGGCCTACGCCGGGGAATCTGGCAGCCTATTAGATCAGCCGGTAGAGGAGTGAGGAGGCACGCTGAGAATTCCCTGTCCCAGGCAAGGTCCCGGCTCAAATATGTCTGCGACGTTGCCTCGACGGATCGTGAAGGTGAGATTGAGGGTCGACAAGGAGGGCCGCTTAAACCTCTGGCGTCTCATTTACCTAATTCTCGACGCAAATGCCAAACGCCTCTGTACATTTAGGAAACTCAAAGACTGATTTCTGAGCCAGGTACGATAAGGGGCAGTTTCCCGCTTTCTGAGGTTGCCTTCAATAACCTTATTTTCTCATGATTATCCACACGATTTTTGCTGCCAGTGCCTGGAATCAGCGCGACACCCTACGAAGACAATTTCCGCTATTTCAACGTCGTGATCGAGGGCCCTGAATCATCTCCCTATCAGCGTAAGTAGGGTCCGATGCATTGTGCATCGGATAGGGTAAAGAGCAGTAAAGAGTTCTGTCTGTATCTCGGAGTCTTCTCGAAGAGCTCTGATCACTTGGGTCCCGCCTTTCCCTCTCGCCGTTATAGAGGGCATTTTCAAGTTAGAGCTATTTCTCCCCGCGGACTACCCGATGGCTCCCCCCAAGGTGCGCTTCCTGACCAAGATGTATCATCCGAACATCGACAAACTCGGCCGCATCTGCCTCGACATCCTCAAGGACAAGTGGTCCCCCGCCCTGCAGATCCGCACCGTTCTCCTTTCTATCCAGGCTCTTCTGGTAAGTAGTGGACGGCAGGTAGAAGGAGATGGCCGTCAGGACCTTACAGGGCTCGTCCACCTCCCGCCCCCCAGTCCTGCCCCAACCCGGAGGACCCCCTCAACAACCAGGTGGCGGAGCTCTGGAAGGCGGACGAGGACCGGGCCATCGCCAACGCGAAGGAGTGGACTCGTCTGTACGCGACCAAGTGACAAGCTTGTCGCTGAGAAATGGGCGGCGCAACAGCGAGAGGGTGAAGGTGGTGGAGACGAGCGGCGGGGGCAGTGGGGCTGTTTGGACAGGCAGGGGAGGCGGACACGAGCACTATGATACATAGCCGTGAATGTGACATAGCGACAAGATGACGGACCGTCTAGTGCCAGTGGTGGGTTGTGAAACAGCGACGCGTTGGGGGGCTGCTAGGGTCTACCTAGGTGCGGACTCGGAACTGCCCCGGAAGTTTTCATGCCTACTCACACGACTAGGAAAGGAAGAACAATGTGCTTTATGTGACACGAAGAAATGGCGCGGATCAGGACGAGCTAGAGCTCAGCAGGCTTCTCATCCACAAGCCAAGCTCGCTTTGCCTTCGTCTGGATTTCATGTACTCTACAATGCACATGCGGGTAGTCTCTCCTTATCGACATGAGACGGTTCCTCGCGGTCTTCCCGCCCTAACGACAGGCAGTGGGCATGCAGCCTCGTTATCATGTTGCCCTACTCCCCTCCCTCCCCCGGCGCCTGGCCGCCTTCCCCCCCCTGACCGTCCCTGCGCCCCCGCACGGCGCTCTTCTCGCTCAGGTATTCGACCGTTCCCGACACCTCCCTCCGCTCGTACTGGAGGAAGTCGTCCACTGCCTGGCGTAGCCCGGGGTGCACAAGGTGGTGCATGGAGTGCACGTGTACGGGCTCAAACCCCCGCATGAATTTGAAGTCGGAGTTACCCGCCCCTGGCTCCATGGCGGCCAGCCCGGCCTCGATGCAGTACTCGATCGACTTGTAGTAGCAGGTTTCGAAATGCAGATTTTTGATGTCCTCTGGTGCGACACAGCCCCAGTAGCGGCCGTAGAAGCGCTTGTCGTTGCTGATGACGTTGAAGGTCCCGGCCACGACCTCGCCGCCCGCGTCCCTGGCCAGCACCAGGCAGAGGGGCTCCCGGAACTTGTCCTTGAGGAGGCGAAAAAAGGCCTCGTTCAGGTACTGCCTGCCGTAGAAGAGCTTGTCGATGGTGCTCACGTAGAGCTTGAAGATCAGGTCCGAGTCGAAGTAAGAGTCCGGGATGTCGCGGCCGCGGAGCACCTGCAGGGTCAGGCCGGCGTCCTCGTAGATGCTGCGCCGCTCCTTCTTGATCTTGATGCGGCGCTTGCTCCGGAAGGCACTCAGGTACTCATCAAAGCTACTGTATGGCAGTCCATCCTTGTCTTTGTTCCTGTTCACCCAGTGGAACTGCATGGAGGTCCGGTGCAGGTAGGGGGGCTGGGCCTCCTGTAAGGCTCCGATCTCCTCCTCCTCGCAGAAGTTGACGTGCACGGAGGAGAAGCCGTTGCTCTTCGCCAGGTCCTGAAGGAAGCCGCCCACCATCCTGCGTATCTCTCGCTGCATGGGTTGCGACAGGCCTCTCTTGAGCAGGAGGCGGGCGCCGGACGCGGGCGTGAACGGGACGGCCACCAGGACCTTGGGGTAGTAGTCCAGGCCCGAGCGGTAGGCCGCGCTCGCCCACTCGTTGTCAAATATAAACTCGCCCATGCTGTGAGTCTTGATATATACAGGCGCGGCCGCCACCAGCTCGCCCGGATCGTCGGACTCGGCAACCTCCCCGCCCCGGCCTGTGACCATGCGGATGGTCAGGTGGCAGGGGTTCCATCCTGTGGCCGGCACTGCGCATCCCGAGGCCTCCAGGCAATCAAACCACTCATGCTGCAAGAAGGGGGAGTCCTCAAAGCGCAACAAAGAGTTCCACTCCTCTGCCTGAATCTGGGATATGTTTGTGTGCGTCTTCACTGTCAGAAAATACTGGGTTTCGCGTTCCATCGTAGCCGCCTCCTTTTCGCTGCTGCCGCCAGTGCTAGTGACCATCATAGAAAAGGAATCGCGCCTCCTCGACAGCATCGAGGAGTGAGGGTCAAAAGAAAGATGCCGCTGCTGAACAGCCTGAATGTGGGGGCAGACGTGCCAGAAGAAAGCATGCAGGTTGATGACCTGAGGCGGCAAGTGAAGGATATTGGTGGGATTAGGAAAGAATCTTGCTTTAAAATGGAGTAGATCATCGTGGTGGCCTTTGACGGTTCTACAAGGAAAACGGAAGATGTCTCATTACTTGACTTTTATGTGGTTTCTCGAAAATTTTGTCATCGGATAAATCGAGCAGCGCAATGGATCTAACATGGAACAAAAGGGAAAGAGCAGAGAAATAGGCCCTTGAAAAAGCTATGACTCACCTGCAAGAACCCCAATGTGGTGAGCAAGCATCTTGACCACGGCATCACTGCCTGTTTTCGAATGTAGGGAATCAGGAAGTGGGATGGAGGGACTGCTGACTCGGTGCGTGCGATAGTGCTGGGCGACAAGCAGCGAGGGGTCTCTGAGGGGAGAGTCCGAGCAGCGAGACCTCTTGTCCTCCAGGCCGTGCACACCACAGCTAACGAGGCCACATCCGCCATCACACCACGCACATCCTCCAGGGATGGCTTCTGGTGCGATTGAACAGCGGAATCAGGATGCCACGGTGTATTGCGGCGGTCTGGACGAGAAAGTGACGGAGGATTTGCTCTGGGAACTGATGCAGAATGTAGGGCCCGTGGTACACGTACATATGCCCCGAGACAAGGTAACGGGCATGCACCAGTGCTTCGGCTTCGTTGAGTTCCGCTCAGAAGAGGACGCCGACTACGCCGTGAAGATCATGAACATGGTGCGCATGTACGGGAAGCCTCTGCGGGTGAATAAGGCCTCTCAGGACAGGAAGACGGTGGACGTGGGGGCCAACCTCTTCATTGGAAATTTGGCGGCCGAGGTGGACGAGAAGGATCTCTACGACACATTTTCAGCTTTTGGAGGTATCACGCAGCCACCTAAAGTGATGTTTGATCCCGACACAGGGCACACGAAGGGTTTCGGCTTCGTCTCCTTTGACAGCTTCGAGGCGGCGGACTACGCGATCGAGTGCATGAACGGAGCATATTTGGGCGGACGCCCAATCTGCGTTCAGTACGCCTACAAGAAGGACAGTAAGGGCGAGCGGCACGGCTCCCAAGCAGAGCGCCTGCTCGCAGCCTCCAACCAGCAGGCAGTCCGCTTCAAGGCCCACACCCTCTTCGCCACTGGGCCCGGGCAGATCGGAACGGGCATGGGCGCCCCCCCTCCGCCTCCCTCCAACACAGGGGCGGGCCAACCTCAGCACCAGCAACAGCAGTATTTTCCCCCGCCGCCTCCATTCGGGATGCAGGGCAGCATTCCCCCGCCTCCCCCTCCGCCTCCCCCCGGCTACGGTCACCATCAGCAATACTACGCGCCGCCCCCACCTCCGCCGCCTCCGCCCGCCATGGGCATGTACCAACCCCAGCAATATGGAAACGCTGGCCCCCCTC